CTCTCTTCCTGAGGTTCCGGATCCTGAGTCTGACTTACTGTCAGTCCTACTGTCACTTTTCTCCTTACTACTGTTGTCACTGACCCTTCTTTTGAGTCCACTGCTGCGTCTGCCTTGGTTGCTGAGCTTGTCGACTTTGCTGCTCGCTGTCGTCTAGACTACGCCGCTAGTCTTGTTGCTGAGTCTGAGTCTGAGTCTGTCTGTCCTCTGTCCGTCGGGGGTGAGTGTGCTCTTGGCACGGACGTCCTTGAGGATAGGCAGGAGGACTTTGAGTGTCTTGCGGCTGCTGTACCTCATCTCGTGGCCATGCTGCTTGCCCCTGAGGGAGACCCGGATGCACTAGACATCCCGACCCCGCGCTCTTACGCAGAGGCGATTTCGGGTCCCTACTCCTCTCAGTGGCAGACAGCCATGGACACAGAGATGGCATCCTGGAAGTCCATAGGCACTTACGTCGACGAGGTTCCCCCTCCTAGGGCGAACATCGTCGATGGCATGTGGATTTTCAGGGTGAAGCGGCCGCCGGTTCTCCGCCTATCTTCAAGGCTCGTTACGTTGCTCAAGGCTTCAGTCAGCGACAGGGAGTTGACTTCTTCCAGACCTTCTCCCCTTCTCACCACTCTTCGGGTGTTGCTGCACGTTGCCGCTCAGCGTGACTACGAGCTTCACTCTCTTGACTTCAGCACAGCACTCTTACAGGGCAGCCTGCACGAGGAGATCTGGCTGCGCCGCCCACCTGGCTTCACTGGGTCGTTCCCTCCTGGTACCTAGTGGAGCCTCCGGCGGCCAGTCTACGGTCTCCGTCAGGCGCCTCGTGAGTGGCACGACACACTGAGGACTACACTTGCGGCTCTTGGGTTTGCTCCCTCCACTGCTGACCCGTCGCTGTTTCTTCGCACCGACACTTCTCTGCCGCCGTTCTACATCCTCGTGTACGTCGACGACTTGGTCTTTGCCACTGCTGAAACTGAGGCTCTCGCCCTTGTGAAGTCGGAGCTGCAGAAGCGACACATGTGCGCGGACCTGGGTGAGCTGCATAGTTACCTTGGCTTGCTACGGGTCACTCGCTCTCAGCTCTGCCTTCGGATGAGTCCGTAGAGCCGAGTGGCCCGTATCCAGAGCTTGTGGGCTGCCTCATGTACTTGATGACTTGCACTCGACCTGACCTTGCGTACCCCCTTAGCATCCTGGCTCGCTCGTTACGTGGCGCCTGGTAGACAAAAGCGAGAGCACTGGGAGGCTGCTAAGAGGGTGTTACGCTACTTGTGCAGTACATCAGGCATGGGGCTCGTGCTTGGAGGATGGGGTGACGTTGTCCTCATTGGACACTCAGACGCCTCTTGGGTTGACGACCTGGCTACGCAGCGGTCGTCACAGGGTTACACGTTCAGCCTTGGCTCTGGCTCTGTTTCTTGGCGGTCCATGCGCTCGTCGTCTGTTCTCAGCTCCAGTTGTGAGGCTGAGATCTACGCCACAGCCATGGTTGCACAGGAGTTACATTGGTTCACCTACCTGCTGACTGACTTGGGTGAAAGGCCTAGTTCTCCTCCAGTTCTGTACGTAGACAACAAGGCTGCTATTACCTTGTGTCAGGAGCACAGACTGGAGCACAGAACGAAGCACATTGCCCTGCGGTACTTCCTTGCTCGAGAGTTGCAGCAGCGTGGTCAGCTTCGTGTTGCTTACGTGGCCACTCGGGCCAACACTGCTGATGTGTTCACCAAGGCACTTCCGCCTGTTGACCATCAGCGCTTCTGCACTGCTCTAGGCCTTGTTCCACACTTTGCTCACTTGCTGACCTCTTGACTTTGCTTGTACTGTGATCGTTATTATATACCTGCGTGCCTACACTTGCTAGGTTGTGATCACTGTACTGTTTGCTGTTACATATATGTCTCTGCATGTGAACTGGCCTTGTGGCCCTTTGCTTGTGCTCAGACTGTGTGGTGACGTTGTGATCCACCCTGAGCTTGTTTTGCTTTTCTTGACTGGTCTTGTGACCCCTTGTTCTCCCCCACTTTGCCTATGGGGGTATGTCAAATTAATATATATGCTAGTTAGTTATCTAGGCTACAGTGGGGTAGCCACTCTGGGGTACAGCCCCTTTAGGGTTTACTTTTGTACCCAATTGTTTCCATAGTTCACTCATTCCTGCCTAGCTATCTTAACAATGTCACACGCAGGAGTGTGTGGTACAGTAGCTTGCTCAAGAGCATAGCCTTGGCTGGGCTGGGTGTTAGGGCATGATGCAGAAGGGGGGCATGCGTTGGCTTTGGAAGGATCATGCAGGCTGCTGATTGCCCATCCAGTCCATCGCCCATTCAATCCCTGCTCACTCTCTCTCATCCCTACCCATCAGCCCTATGATCACCTCACCACTCGCCGCAGCAACTTCTGGAATGAGGCAACAAGCGGAATTTTACAAGTGGAGGAGATGATGTTTGAGGCATCTCAGAAAAGGATGCCTTGCAAAAGATGGGCTTGAGTGAAGTGCCATTCTGGAGGCTTGCAGGGGATGAATGTGTATTTCAGGTGAAATCAAACGAGAGTGGAATTCAATGGTGCAAAGTTGCAAACCGCTCACCCTCCTCACCTTTGGTGTCACGACAACTCATCACTACAATATTTAATTCATTTCCAAAATGTCCTGCTTTCATGGTCATGACAACGTGTTACTAATACATTGCCTCCTCTAAACGTGCCTGGTTTATCTGGTCGCAGCCAGTGCTAGGGCCTGGGCAAGTGGGTGGCTGTGGGGAATGGACGGGTGTGGGTGGTCACAGTCGCTGATTCCCAGGCATGTTCTTGCTGCTGTTGCTCATGGCTGGGCTGGTGCACGGGGTGGCCGGGGGGCCTTTTGTGGGAGGGATGGGGTGCGAGTCGGAGGTGCAGTGTGCAGTCATGTAGGGTTATGGGGATGCAGGGTGTGGTGATGGTGATGCAGGTTCAGCACGGATAGGATATGCACCAAGGGTTGTGCAGAGGTTTCTGGGATGGGATATGAATAGGAGATAGTTCAGGTGTAGCAGGAACGGAATATGAGTGGAGAGCTAGTGCAGTGGTAGCAGGGATGGGATACGGGCAGGGGAGAGTGCGGTGGAATGGGTTGGTTCCCTCCCCATCCCATCTCTCAGAATCTAAGGCAGGAATGGTGCATTGGTGAAAGAATTGGGTACAAGTATGAAAAGCCTAACTGTTTGTACCCCCTATTGTCAACCCCACAGCAGCCTAGACAACTATCTAAGCAATGTATATGTTTGACACCATCTCCTCCTCCTCTGCATCCCATCATCCTCTCATCAGCTTCCCCACCATCCCAACCTAACAGCAGCATCATGGCAATTGCACCTTCAGGCAACTCCTCCCTTTCCCTCCCAAATCAGTTAAACAAGGACAATCTGGTCTCCCCCAATTCCCCCATTATGCCCCACTCGCCCTCCTGTGCTGCTCATGTACTTGTCCCCTTGGTCTCTCTCCCGCTCCACCCTCCCCGCCGTTTTCCCCCTATCTCTACCCTCTTCCCTCTCCATCTCCCTCTCCCTCTCGGTGGTTGAATGATTTCACAGAGGCGCCACATTCCAATAAACTTCCACAGAGGCGCCCTCTGTACTCACACCTCATCCATACCTCATCTTACAACTTATCACATATCTTATCCTGCAACTCATCCCATACATCATTGCATATTACACATCCCACTGCACTTTCTGAATCACTTTCGCTTCCCGCAGCCCCTTCCTTCTCGTGTGTGCCCCTCACTAATTCCATGCGCAGCTAAGTCCATACTCTTCACTATTGATTGAGCACAATGAAGTAGATGGGTGCCACACTGCAGCAGAAGATGAGTCAATGGTAACCAGCTATGGGGGTGTGTTGTGTGGGTGGGGCTGCACTAAGGAGGTGCTGTTGAGGCAGCTTGTGTCATTTACAAGATGCAGGTGTTCTGAGCATACCGTATCAGCATGTAGGTATTCAGAAACAGATAGATGCACTGCAGGAGCTGGTGACACACACGAGGGCGAGCTGCTTGCAAAGCAATAGCGAGCGAGCAGTAGTCTCACTGAAAAGGAAAGGACCGTATGGGTGGGTGATGCAGCAGTATGTGTCCGATCCTTTCCCATGCAGACACAGGCCCACTTCTGTTTCACCTGTGTCATTCGTCCCAACCCATGGATCATGCCCTGCCAACCAGCGGGTAGTCAACAACTTATCAAGGAGCTGCACTCGCGTGGATGCATGTCTATATGTTCTATGATGAATCATATTGGTGGACCTTTCAATATGTACGGAGTGCGTCAGCTACGTATCCTAGTGATAAGATTGGAGCATTCTAATTTTGTCAACAATTTGTAATGGCATCCGTGCAAACTTGTACTCGAGATCAGGGAGAGCAAGAGTACCAGGTCATGCCTGAGCAATTTTGTACAACGTTGCAATCTGAGGACGAAGCACCAGTGCTCAGTACAACGTTGCAATCTGAGGCCATCCCTGTGCACAGGAACGCCAGGTCACCAACTGGCTAACACCTCCATCCACTCAATCAAACTCCCTTTCCCTCATCATCACTCTGCCACCCCTTTGTGCAAGCACAGATCCTCAATGCACTTGGCTCTTTTGCAGCAGCAGAAGCAGTGCCCTACAAGCTCCATCATCCACTCTATACCCTCTCCGCTGTGAACCTATTTGCACACCCTGCAACCAAAAAGCCAGGCGTTCCTCGTGCAGCTCCCCTCATGCAGCCATGCAAGACACCACTCACCCCTGATCTCAATCTTCAACAACTGCTGCTGCTACTGCACCATGCTCGCCTCTCCCATCATAAGTGATGGCAGGCAGGTAAATTCTATGCAGCTCTCTGCATGCACATGGTCTTTTGCCCAACCAGCCCTGCACCTGCTGCTGCAAGGCACCAGTTCTGTACGACCATTCTTCCAACTCTTTGCAACATGCCAGTCCAGACCACCATTACATGCTTCACTACTTCACATGCATGCCTCCCCTCATCCTTCACACCCCTTGCCTCCACGCCTCTCCTCAGTCTCCCCCAGGCAGTCAGTCAAATCTTCCCTCACCTCCCTTTCCATCACCACTCCCTGACACTCTACCTGCCTATCCGCCTGCGTATAGGATCCTTCTCTAAGTGCATTCTTTCTGACGTCCATAGAGTCGGCAGTCAGCTGCTGCAGCCCATCATCCGTGACTGCCGTGAGATTCAGACAAAGGGTCTCAAGCCCTGTCAGCCTCCCCACATGCACCATGCCAGCATCCTTCACACCCTTACATTCATTAAGCGCTAAATGTGTGAGCGATGGGAGATCTGTCAAGCATGGCAGACCAGCATCAGTCACCTTGGTAGTATAGAGATAGAGGTGCGTGAGGCTGGTCAAGGATCCAATGCCTTCCAAGGCACTGTCTGAGATGTCTGAGGCCCTGAGGTCTAGCTTCTCCAGCCGTGGCAGCCTGAAGAGGTGCTTGATGCCCTCTGCACTGAAGCCTGAGGTAGAGTACAAGTTGATGCTCGTCAGATGGGTCATCGTGGACACATGGGCGAGCATGGTGTCTAAGAGGCTGTTGAGATTCCTCAGCTCCAAATCGGTCTCCTGCGATGCTGACTTGATTGCCTGGAGGAAATGGGTGAGGAAAACATGACAAGGGAATGGATGACCATGGAAGGAACATGGCAAGGCCTCACCTGTAAAATACTTCGCTCAACACTCACCTCCCATGCAGCCTTTTGATCCCCTTCACTCTGCATGATTTCCACGTCAACATTCCACCTCACGACTTGTGTCCTCCGCCGTCCCTTGCTGACTGCCGATTCCCCCATGCCACGAGGACGATTCAACTCCTGCACCTCCTTCCTCCTCTCCTCCTCTCGTGTACACTCTGATGTCATTTCTTGCCTTCTCTTTCTACTCTTCCCTCTCAGCCCTGTTCCACCCGATGCCCTATCTGCCATAGTGCGCTTGAGTTCTGCCAACTCCCCCTGCACTGCTGTCAGCATGTGCCGCAACTCATCCACCTCCTCCTTGTGTGCAGCCAGCTCCTCTCTCACTGCTGCCAGCACCGCCTCTTTGATCAACTCGTTCACTGCACTCGTCACTCCATCAGCAGCCATTTGATCCACTGGATGGACACTGCTGAGACGACCCGTCTTCAATGACTGGACCGGTTCCCTTTAGCCGCTGATTGCTGATCTGGGTGGGGTAGGGTCGGGTGACAAGAGGAAGAAGTTGGTAAGTAATGCACACACAACACAACAAACAAAAATTGCATAGGCTTGTGATGCAATCCGTAAGAGAAGAGCAGAGGAGCAGTTGAAGGTGGAGACATGATGACAAGATATGGGGAATGGATCAAACAGATGTGTGTAGATCAAGCAGTGACGGAACTTGTGAACACTTTGCACAGAATTTGACTTCCGTGGACTAAGGCCAGGAGGATGAGAGGAAGAGCTAAACAGAGGGGTGGTACAGAGGGCTGACACACAGAGGGCTGACACTTGCACCAAAAAGTGGAGGTGCAATAAACAGCACTTGGCCAAAGCAGAATACGGGAGGAGCGAAGGAGCATGATATGATGTTGCATGAGGATGCGGAGCAGCAATGACCACAAGGCGAAGAGTTCAACTCAGCCTGACATGAAAGGTGCCAGCCAGCTCTGCTCCTTACCAGAGTCAGGCAGGTGAGGAAAGCCAGGGCGAGCACTCAAGCAGGAGATCTGAAAAAAGAGGGCAAGGGAGAACAAAAATGGTAGAGAATGCCATAGTATGAGTGGCATTAGTGAGCGAAAATCTTAGCGGTAGCAGAGGCTTGGCCGTTTGAAGTGCCTTTTTAGCCGAATCGGAAGAATCATTGAGTCGACTCGCAGCGTGGCGTGAAATTCAACTCGCCTTTCAATGAGCTGGTCAGCGAGAGACGATGGGGCTGATAGAAAACCAGATCAACTTGAGTCAGATCTGATGCATTCAACACCTCCCTTTTTCACAGCTCCTCCGTTGGTTGAAGTTGACAAGGAGCATGAGACATGCCAGATCCCTGGAGCCGGTGAGTTACACCTGGGGGAGGTCGAGACGGGGTGGCTCATAGTTCACCAGCTCGGTCCAAGACAGGCTAGGTATGTCACCAGCGAGCTAGGCAAGACAACGTAGGTCGTTAAGAATCCTAGGTCAAGAGCCCGGCCCCTCAAAGGCTAGGGTAGTATAGTCTAAACCAGTCACAAATTGAGTCAGTTTGAGGCTAGGTTACTCACTGGCCAGGACTCACTGACTACTTCAGTCGAAGTCCAGGTCAGTCTAACGCAAGCTAGGGTCAGTCAGAGCCTATGTTAAGAAGACAGAGGGTATGACTGAGTAACATAAGTTATGTCACGGGCTGGGTTAGCCACACTATAGGTCACTCACAGAATAAGACGGTTGAAGGCTACGTCAGTTCTAAAGTAGATCAGTCACCGGCTACATCACAACTTGAGACTCACAAGCAAGGCCTAACAAAAGTTGGGACACTCACGAATTAAGACAAGCACAAAATAAGACAAGCACAAAAAGGGGCACTCGCAATCTAAAACTCTCATAGAATAGGTCGGTCCCATGCTAGGTCAAGCACTAGCTAGCTCTGACCCACCCAAGTCAGTCATAGGCCTAGAATGGTCACAGGTTAGTCACTTACACGTTAGGCCACTTACGGGCAAGGTCAGATACAAGCTAGGTTAGTCATGGATTGGGTCACTCACAACAACCTGCGTCACCGTCACACCCAAGGTTAACCACAGACCAGGTTAGACCCGACCAGAGAGTCAAGCTTTCACTCGACTTGCCCAACTCAATAGCATCGTGTGGCGTGCATTCAGTTCAGTTTCCTCTTTCAATCAAAACGAGTCGAGTCGAGTCAGCTCAAGCTACGGCCAATTCAATGCATCGCCTGACTGGACTGTGTCAGCAAAGCCCGCCAAGTCGGTGACTCAACGAGATGCAGCTGACTCGTCGCGAGTTGAGTAGGTTGTTGCAATCCACCCACCCAGGCACATACCATGAATCAGCCAACATACGTTCAGAAACTGCTAGCGTATCTGATCCATTTTCCAACTTAGCTCAAATTTATCTCGCCAAACCATCCGACCTTGGATCGTCTCGCCCTCACTCGAAGCAACTCACTTTGGGTCTACTCACCTCAGTGCTGCCAAGCAACCCGCTTTGAGTCGTTCTACATTAGCACCGCCAAGAAATCTGTTTCAGCTAGTAGTGGTTCTTTACTGAGAAGAATGACCTCTGGAATTCCAGCCACAGGGCCGACTCTACCCGACATTGACTCGAGGTTGACCTGATTCGAGCATAACCTGACTCAACCCGACTCGCCCCTGTGCTGTGTGCACATGTCTAGGCTGCCAGCCACAAGCTAATCACCAGACATGACAGTGACTGGCTATGTCAGACAGGCTATGTCAGACAGGCTAGGTCAGCCAGGGTAGGTCAGTCACAGGGTAGGTCAGCCAGGGAGTAGGTTAGTGAGAGCCTGGGAAAGTGACAGCATGAAAAATGAGCCAGGGAGAGAATCAGGAGGACGGGAAGGGCCCAGTCCAATAATTGATCAAAAGTTAGATGTACGACCTCCATGGCTTGTACGCTGGGAAACTTGCAATGCAAAACGACTAGACTGGAAGAAGATAAGGAGCTTCCATTCCATGATGCATTGATTGAGGAGTTAGAGTGCTCACATTTTCTTCAGAATCTCTTCTTCTTCAACTGTCGATGTTTCCCACGTTTAGCGTAGCGACTCAGCAGCGGCGACGCGGGGACAGTCGATCAGCAGTGCGTGGTGATGGTGGCGAGGCTTGGCAACACTGAAATTGCTGGAAGGGAAGGAATGTAGTGGGATAAGTAATTGATTACGCAATTGGCGTCAAAATCTCCGGATAATAGCACGGAGGCGTGGCGCCATGCATGACAACTGCATGTTCTGTTTGCACTAACTCTGGGAACGTGGCATGGAGACGGTTTGGAGGCAAAGGACGAGAGAGGCAGAGGGTACGGGGCACCAAAGGACTCGAAAGCATCGAAGAATGGAGGGAAATGACGATAAGGGTAGTGCTGTCGAGCAGAAAAACTGAGCCTGGCTTACCTCGGAGCTGTTTTCAGGGTTTCGCGATTGAAACGTCGAGAGAAGAGGAGAGGCAATGACTACACCTACTAGGCGCAACGGGTTCCGCACACGCCAAACGATCTGAGATGCTGCGCGAATCTTACGCGGGAGATTGAAATGGATTTGAAACGAGCAGATAATGAGCGAGGAACCGGAGGGAAACTACGACTGCTACTAACTGCTACGCAGGTTCCGTTCGTGACTTGTGCTGCGTTTCAAATTGGTCATGCTAGGATCCATAAATCGTCTCATATTACGATATGTGTATGGTTTCAGGTGCAAATACGTTAGCGAAGTCGTTACGGGCGAGGGAGGAGCACTGGCACTGGTGCTGTACCTCGCTCAAAACAACTTCTCCGCTGAACTGAGAACGACACATTGACGTGCAGATCCTGTCACGAAACACAAAGTTCACGGCACTGTTTGATTAGCGAGCATATTTGTGTTTTGCGAACAGCAGGATGGTAACGGCTGGAAGTGTGCAAGTTTTGAACTTTGACGAAACGAGATTCGACACACACATACCCACACGCTAATTTCCTCCGCATAATCATCCCTGCTATTCGCTGCCACTCATAACTTGTCAAGCTTACATTCTCTTCCTCAATGGCTAGATCCGCACCAGCTAGCGCGGATGTCATCGTCCACACTCGATAATCGTCGGTGTCGCCACGTGTCAGTGCTTCAATAGCGACCAAAATCAAGTCACGGTCGCCCTTCCACTCTCGCGCCGCGCCTCGGCTGTATAACGGGACTCGGCCACGTTCAGATCCAAGAAATCGATGTTTAGTTTGATTTCCAGTGCAGGATTCGGCATGCATGCGAAGGCATTATAGATCGACGGGATGAGACGAGCTGGCGGCGAATCCAGAAGCCCCAAATGTTGACCCCCGTGCGTTCGCGATCGACGCGTGGCGAATTGATGCATGCGTTACCCACGTGGCTGCGGCGACGGGGTGAAATGGAGCCTGGCATGTGGCGCTGCGCTGCTCACCGCTTACGATGATGAGTCGGTTGAACACCGCTGCCTCACGGCGGGGGCGGGCGAAAGGCTGGGGGAGCGATGTGAGAGGCAAACGGTGAGACGAATGGACGGATGGGAGTGCGGGGTGAACGCAGCGCGTAGCATGCGTCATGTGACGCGATGCCTCCCTCCTGTCCTCTCTCGTGTCCCCTTTCCTCCTCTGCCTACTTCTCGCCCCGTATGGCATGTTTTCCCTCCCCCCGAGTTCCGAATTATCATCTTCTGAGTTCATCTCCTGAAATCTCTATTTTTTCGTCCTCTGGCCCTGGAGCGCTGGGAGTTTCCGTTCCTGATTCGCTAAGAAGCGCCTTGTTCCAATCTGATACTCGTTGCTGTGATCTGACGCGCCTGCCACCGCCACATACAGGTACGCACGGCCACTCTACTTACTCAGTGGTCGTCCACCACCTTCCCTGGATCCGTCTCTTGCCCAACTCAAAGATTGAACACCCGCTGCTGTTGCTTATGCCTTCCTTCCCCTGCTGCTGTTGCTTATGCTCTCCTTCCCCTGCTGCTGTTGCTTATCCCCTCCTTCCCCTGCTGTTGTTGCGTATCCCCTCCTTCCCCTTGTTCTGTTGCTTATCCCCTCCTTCCCCTTGTTCTGTTGCTTATCCCCTGCTTTCCCGTGCTGCTGTTGCTTATCCTCTCCTTCCCCTGCCGGTGTTGCTTATGCCCTCCTTCCCCTGCTGCTGTTGCTTATGCCCTCTTTCGCTGCTGCTGTTGCTGATGCCCTCCTTTCCCTGCTGCCTCCCTCTCTTCCCTGGTTTGGCGTGTGCACCCTCTCTCCTGCGCCTTCTGCATCTCACTTCCCCACACTCACGTTTATGCTTGTCGGCTCTGAGCTTGTTGTTTATGCTTGCCTTCTTCCTTGTTTATGCTTCTCATTGGATGCTTGCTCCGGCTTCCCTCACATGCGTGGCAGGTAAGGAGTAGAGCTTGCAGGGCCGCTTTGTATATCGTCGTTTTAATGCCGCATCATGTCAACCTGACCTATTTGACTCGCTGTCATGGCTTCTCCACCTCCTCGTGCAACAACTTATCATCCCCTATTCCTCCTTCTGGCTACCATTTTGGCATATTCGTTTCTGTTTTACAGCCACTTTAATAAAAGCAATAATCTTGCTGTGGAAGAGTTAGAAGCATGTAATTCCTCTGCTGGGTTTTGTAGTCTTCTCTATCTGTCCTTTCCCTTTGCCTACATTTGCCTTCTCAGACACCACTTCTCTCTTAGCACTCTTTGTACCTGGGACCTTCTTGCTGCCCTGCTCTCACTCCTGACTTACACCTATTTCTCTCCTAGCGTGCGTGTCCTTCATGTCCTCCAAGTCGGAGTAAACACCTATTACATCACCGCCCCATGCTATGCCTGCGGCTTGCTACCCACTCTGCAACTTGCAGCCCTTCATCCCCTGCATTTACATCTGCCTTGCTTCTTGCATTGTCCCGCCTTTATAGTCCGCTTTCACTTCTTGCCCCTTCTTCCTATCTCCTCTGCTCCTCCTCCTAGCCTGCCTTGTTTTGCTGCCGTAAAACTTCATGCCAAGCGCATGTGTATGCACAAGAATACCCTCTCATTGCTTGAGCCGAGACTTGTTTTGCTCGGACCATTCTCCCACATCTTGTCATCAAGTCTTTCGCTATTTATGCTCTTTCAGTCCTCTCATATTCACACGTGACATGTCTGCCTCGTTTATGCCCATGCTACCACTTCTTTTCTTGTGTGCATTCTTCCCCCTTTTGCGTTTGCTTCAAGACACCTGACCCTTCCTTGCCCAGGCCTTGTCGCGAGGCTGCAGTAAAGAAGGTGGCTGAACACAAGTTTCATTCATAGAAGAAGGGTCGTTTTAGAGGTTTTTTTGGAGCACATGGCTGAGAGAGCGTTGGGGCCACTGATCGATGTGGTGAAAGAGGCGGTGCTAGCTGCAGTGAGAGAGGAGATGGCTGCACACAAGGAGGAGGTGAATGAGCTGCGGAACATGTTGACTGTTGTTGAGCAGAGGAATGGGGCAACCGCTGCTGCGATGGAGGAGAATAGGAGAGAGTTGATTGCAGCAAAGACAGAGTTTATTGAAGTGAAGAGGGAGCTGATTGCTGTGAAGATGGAGTTGATTACAGTGAAGGGGGCGTTGGCTGAACACAAGCAGTCAACTGCATTGCAGTTGGAGGAGGCTGAGAGGAGACGAGTGGTGGAGATAAGGGAGATGAGAGGGCAGGTGGAGGAGAGGGAGAGAGAGTTGACTGCGGAATTGGCAGCAGTGAAGGGGGAGTTGGCAAGGGAGAGGGACGAGAGGAGGAGGGAGGTGCAGGAGGTAGAGAGGAGAAGATCAGCAGACTTGGCAGGGATGAAAGGGCAGGTGGAGGAGAGGGAGAGGAAGGAGAAGGGAGGGAAAGGGGGGCTGGCTGCAGTGCTAAAGGATGCTGGCATGGAGATGGATGTTGAAGGCGTTCAAACGAGAGCATGGGAGGTGAGTGCAAATGTTTCACAGGGTATGGATGGTTCGTTGTTTGCTAATGTCTTAATTACCAATAATTTTATTTTCATTCATTCCCTCTTCATCCATCACTTCCAGCAAGTCAAGACAGCATCAGAAGTAACTGATTTGATCCTGACGGGTCTCAGCTGCGTCTCAGACGCCATGCTCGCCCATGTGTCCACGATGACTCATCTGAGGTGCATTAACATGACCTCTAGCTCAGGCTTCAGTGCAGAGGGCATCAAGCACCTGTACAGACTGCCATGGCTGCAGACGCTAGACCTCAACAGCGCAGGCATATCAGACAGTGCCTTGGAAGGCATTGGGTCCTTGAGCAATCTCAAGGAGCTCTATCTCAGTCGTACCAAGCTGACCAATGCTGGTCTGGCACACTTGACAGGTCTCCCCTCTCTCAAAGTGCTGTGGTTTTCTAAATGCAAGGGTGTGACAGATGCCAGCATGGTGCATGTGGGGAGGTTGACAGGGCTTGAGACGCTTCTTCTGGAGTACACTGCAGTCACGGATGATGGGCTGCAGCAGCTGACTGCCCTGACCAAGCATCTGACATCTCTTCAACTGCCGAATGGAAAGTTTGTTTGCAATTCCAATGTGCCCAGATGGATAGGAAGGTAGGGTGGGCAGGGGGTGATGGAGGGAAGGGAGACACATGGAGGCAGAGTCAGCTGTGACTGCTTGGAGGAGAGGCGTGCAGGCAATGGGTGTGAAGAATGGGAGAGTACATGGAGGAAGGGGTGTGGAAGGAGTAGGAGTAGTAGGGGTGTACACATCCAATCCTGCAAGGGGTATAAGTGAGGATGATAAGGCCCTTTCTGGATGGCAACCTCACTTAGCCTCTTGCAGGGCCCTTTCAAGCAAGATACAGGGTAGTTATACAAGGGCAGGCGTTCCTGGATAATATCGAGTGCAATGTGTGTAATGCAATAGCCCTTTATTGATCCAGAACGTCTTTTGAACAATGGAACCATGTGTGGCTCGTGGACACATTGCCTCATAAAGCAGGGGCAAGGGTGCTCGAAGGCACTTTGTGTTGTTTGGGAGGCAGGGCATGATGCGTGGGAAGGAGGGCAGAAGTAGGAATATGTCAGCATGAGTAAAGGGTAGAGGTCTTGCAGTGTGCTGCATTGTCCATTGTCTTTCTACCTTCTCAAAACCGTGCTTGCTACAACCATTCTCCCCGTGTCCCCTTGCTCCCATACACCCATGCTTCCATGCTCCCATGCTCCCATCCACCCTTGCTGGTGAGTCTTTGACTTTTCTTCACTGCGGTGTCACATGATTCTTTCTGTCGTTTTCTTCCACACCTATTCTTTCCTTGTGAATCCCAACCCTCTTCTGTTTCCCTACTTCCCTTGTTCCCTATCAATTCCCTCCCCCATCCCCCCCTCACCCCCAAACGCCCCAACTCCCTTCTGCTTTCTAAAGCCAGCAGCTGACTTGCTGCGGCTGTGCAACTCCTCCCAACCATATCGGTTTACCAACGGATGTCTAGTTGAAACAGTCCGCGGATGCGTCCTTGCGTGAGGGGGCAGTAGCTGCGGACTAGTACTCACCAACCTTGTGCACCCTCCCTCCAACTCCCCTCCTCTTCCAGCACCAGCAGCACCTTCCACGAAGTAGTCATGACTCATGGAGAAGTGGGTGCATGCAAGTGAGCAGTGAGGCATGGGTGCGGGTAGCCATGCAGCAGAGGCCGCGGATGTGACCTTGTGTGAGTGGGCCGTAGCTGCGAACTCTCATTGCATACTGAACTGAACAGATGGCTTTCAGGCTCAACCTGAGAACAGAACTGTGAGTTATTCTCTTTCTATTTTTCTTCTTCCATCCATTGCTGCTGGTCATCCCTCCCCCCCCCCCCATTTGCTCCTTCGCATATCCGCGCCCAATCTGCTGATGGAAATATGAAAGAAAACACTACTTTACCAAGAGTTATCTCCCGCTCCCCCCTCCTCACTCAGCCTTACCACCTTCGCCCTCTCCCCCACTCCCCCACACTCCCTTCCTCTTGCCACACCAACAGAATGCGCCCAGATCATCGCTGTGCCAAGCATCCGAGCAGCATGGCAGAGCCGTGCCGAGCATCCGAGCAGCATGGCAGAGCCACCGAGGTGCAGCAGCCGTTATGAATGGGTGGCAGGAAAGAATGGGAGGGAGAATGAGAGAGCAGAGGGGGGCAGAAAGATTTATGGTTGTGACACTGTTACAGCGGCCGTTAGCTTCAAGCAGCTCACGCCGTGGATAAAGGTATGTTAAGCATGTTTGTGTTGCTTCACCCCAGACCAGAGCAATATGGATGGCTGAGTTAAGACTGATGAGGGGATTGGAATGAGCTAAAACCATCATTCATCATGTCCCTCATGTGCAACCAACCACCGCATCCATTCTTCTCCTAGCCGGTTCTCTTATTCTTGGTTGTCCTACATCCAGCCCTCAAATTAATTTTTGTTTCAAAACACCTCTATTCCTCCCACCCATACTCCCTTCCACCCCCCTTCTCCCTTAACACCGCCCCCTCCTCCCCTCCAACTCTTGTCTCCTTGTATGGACCCAATAGCCCGCTGCTCCCTCTAACCGTTTCCAGCAGGCATGCGCTTGGGCCACAACCGATCCAGCCTGGGTCGAACAGGATTGGGCGAGACACTGAGTCGGTCTGGACCCCAACCGACCCGACCCGTAACTTTTTGGGAAACTGCTTGCTCTTGGCCCGACCAGAATGGTCAAGCCATTGGGGTTCAGTTCATCTCCCGAACTGTTTAAACATACGAAGAAAAGCCCCTAACTTTCTAAAGCTAATGGAGGGGGCCGGGCGAAAGCAGTAAGCTCAAGTTGGACATCCAGAGTGAGCTCGTATTTCACTGCTCGAGCCCTCAAACACGACCTGCACGGCTCCGATCACGTGTGATCGTTCACGAGGATTTTCCAGTACGTTGACGGCACGCCTCACGCCCTAGGTGGATGATGATGCAGAATCGACCCAGGTTACCTTCGACCCAGGTTTGCCAGCACAGCTTGGGAGAGCTCATTTGGAGCGAGTTAAACTTGGGTGAGTCTGGGCTAATAGGGCAAACAAGGGCCCTGGTTCGTCCAGGGATGAGTGGTAGTTCGACAAGTTGCACATGCCTACTTTTGCGTGTTCATGCCTTGACCATGGTGAGAAGGGGGGAGGGGGGGGGAGGGAGGGGGGAGAGGGGAGGGAGAGGGTGAAGAGGCACAAAGAGCAAACGACCCTTGTGGGTGGATGGTCATGAAAGTGTCGTCCATCCCTATCAAACCCCTACCTTTTCTTCCTCCATCTCCCTGTGCGCGAACCAACTGTCCCTCCCCATCTCACGTCCTCCTCCTCTGCCCGCCATCACCCTCCCATCTGCTCCCAGCCATCCCAGCCAAGCAGCACTGTAGCCACCGCACCCTCAGGCACCACATCTCCCTCCCTCCCACGCCACCCACCCACACCACGACTGACTGCTAGCTCCCATTTCCCCCGTGGCCCATGGCATGTGCTCACTTATTGCGTGCGTTCTCTCTCCCTTGATGGTGGCAGCAGAGAGGTGCCACACGCATTCCAGCAAGTTATCTCACCCTTCGCACCTGATTCTCCCCTCCCTTGTACCAAGCTCTTCAATCATCTTATTGCTCAGCGGGCAGTCAGTTCATCAGAGAGGGAGGGAGCATAAAGGTGGTTCACATAACCTTCATCACTGGTGAAAAGTGACTGGGACGGGTGATGGGACAAGTGCATTGTGCAATGAGTGCAGGCTATGTTCAGAACGGTGGTTCCTTCTGTGGCAGCCTCTGCGGAAGCGTTGGTGATTGCATGACCTGCAATAGTATGTACTTAATCAGCCCCACTTGCATACCACCTGCCCCATCTGGGCCCACCTCATCTGTTATGAAGCCGCAGTGGCAGCAGCAATGGTAAGCAAGGCGTTACTGGTGAGGTACTTGCCTCCCACTCCATGCCCCTCTCACCCTCTTGTGATGCTCACATAGTTGTTTCCCTCATCTCTCTCCCTCTCCCTATCCCCCCTCCTCCTTGGTGGAGAGTAGATGGTGGCAGCACAGGACCCCGCATGCACTCCCACAACCCCACCTCCCCATTGGGGCGTTGAGGTAGGGCGACTCATGGGAGGTGAAGTCTGGGGCAACCTAGGGCGCTGCAATGACGGTAATTGGCATTTTAGATTGGAGGGTTGTCAGCTTTAAAATTTGTGTTTTTTTATTGTGAGCTACATGAAAAGCCCTTGTTGAGCACTCTAGCAGGGTAATGCATTGTTGGAAACCTTCGCGCACATGCACTTCATCCCATACCTCATCCCATACCTCATCCCATGCCTCATTCCATACCTCATCCCATACCTCATCCCATGCCTCATCCCGTGCCTCATCCCATGCCTCATCCCATGCCTCATCCCATACCTCATCCCATACCTCATCCCATGCCTCATCCCATATGTCATCGTGTTCCTCATCCCACAAATCATCCTACACCGCATCCCAAACCTTGGCACCTGATCCCATTCCTCACCGAACCCAGACATTCCCAAAACCCCAACTTCCTTTGGGGCGTTGAGGCAGGCCGACTCAGGGGAGGTGAAGTTTGAGGCAACGACACAACCAAGGGCACTGAGGAAAATGGTATTTCACATTGGAGGGTCTTCAACTTCTGGATTTCGCTTTCCTGAGGTACATGAGAAGCTCTGGTTGATCAATCTATCAGTGAGGGACAGCTGTGCACATGCACCTCATCATCGCATACCTCGTTCCATACATCATCCCATACCTCGTTCCATACATCATCCCATACCTCGTTCCATACATCATCCCATATCTCGTTCCATACATCATCCCATACCGCATGCCATGCCTCACCCATACCTCATCCGTACCTCATCCATACCTCATCCATACCTCATCCATACCTCATCCGTACCTCATCATACACCTCAACCCCTACCTCATCCCACACCCCCAACCCATACATCCCCAAATCTCTAGTACACATGAACATTTTCATTTTTTTTCTCCGGACCAGCATTTCGGTTCTGCCCATGCTCCAAGTATTGGGCGCTCCAGATTGGAGTGTCTTCAGCTTTGGTAGCAGGTCGTTTGTGAGCTACATGAGCAGAGTAGCCATGGTTGTGCGCTCAAGCAAGGAAGTATAGTGGTGGGACAGCTGTGCACTGCACCTCATTCCATACCGCATCCAATACTTCATCACATCATCTCATACTTATCCCATACATCGCATAACCTTTCCTGCACCTCATCCCGTACTTCATCTCATACCTCATCTCGTATGACGCATCTCACTGTTTTGTCCTTCCTGAATGGCTTTCGCTTCTTTCAGTCCTTTCCTTTTCTGACTCTCATGCCCACCCATCTTTCAGTCACAGCACAATCCCCTCGAGCGCAGAGTGGTGCAAATGGGTGCCATACAGCAGCAGAAACCGAGTCACCAGTAATCAGCCACTTTTGGGGTGCATTGAGTGGGTGGAGTGTGGTTGTAGTGAGGAGGTGCAGTTTTAACGAACTCTGTCATCTACCGTATATAAAAAATTCAGGTGCCACTGAGTCGTACTGTATTTTGAAGCGGATCAAGACACTACAGAGCTGGCGACACAGGAGAGCTGTTTGCACCGCGTCAGTGAGAATAAGAATTATCTAAGGTGGAATTTATATTTTGCTTGGCTATGGGATGCCAGTGATTAGAGCATTCTGTACTGTATCTGACAAGAGAACTAAATGATGCATGTTCCAGGTAGCATCCAACATCAGGCCAACTGGTTTTATAAAGACTGGTGCAGTCACACAACACATTACAATCTGAGGTGAAGGCCCAAGTTTAAATCTATCCTCCTACTGGTACCCTCAGCTGTGCACTGGCGAAACCCTCTCCTCTGAAGATAGTTGTACACCCTGCACGCAAACAGCCAGGCATTTCCTATGCAGCTCCCCTCATGCAGCCAAACTCACCCCTGGATCTTGATCCCAACCCCCCCCCAGCCGCTGCTGCTGCTGCCACCCCTGCTGCCAGATGCTGCCACCACTCCTATTGCCACTGCTGCTGCCATTGCCGCCGCCCACCGTGCACGCCTCCCTCGCTGCTCTCTTACTCACGCTTATCCCCAGCTTTTCCGCCTCCCTTACCCTTCCCCTCCTGCTCCACCTCGCCCTCCCCTTACCTTTTCCTTCCCTGACCCCCCTGCTTCCTTCCGCACGCAACTCCATCATAAGAATACCAGACAAGCAACTCCTGTGCAGCTCCCCTCATGCACACCCTGCAGTCTTGTCCAACCAGCCCTGCACCTGTCTCTGACCAACCGCAAGGCACCAGTTCCACATGACCATTCCCCAATTCTCGGCAGCATGCAAGCTGAGCCGTGCACAACCACCATCCATGCCTCACTCCTCCGCATGCATTCTTCCCCTCATTCTTCACACCCCTTCCCTCCATGCCTATTCTCAGTCTCCCCTGACAGTCACACTCAACTCTTCCCTCACCTCACCTCCGTTTCCATCATCACCCCCGGCCACCCTAAATCCCTATCCGCAGGCGTACTGCTTCGCCGTCAAGGTCAACACCGTCTGGAGTACCGAGAATGTACAGCTTGGTCAGGGCAGTCAGCTTCCGCAGCCCATCATCCGTGACTGAGGTTTTATCCAAAGAAAGCTCCTCAAGCTCTGTCAACTTCCCCACATGCACCATGCCAGCATTTGTCACACCCTTGTTTTGCGATAGGTATAGCAGTCTGAGAGTGGAGAGGCCTGTCAAGTGCGCAAGACCCGCATCGGTCACCTTAGTTTTCCTGAGATAGAGGTCCGTGAGGCTGGTCAAGGACCCGATGCCCTCCAAGGCACTGTCTGAGACGTCTGTGCAATGAAGGTTTAAACACTCCAGCCGTGGCAGCCTGTAGAGGTGCTTGATGCCCTCTGCACTGAAGCCTGAGCTAGACCCCAAGTCAAGGTTCTTCAGATGAGTCATCGTGGACACATGGGCGAGGATGTCGTCTGAGAGGCCATGGAGACCCTGGAGTTCCAAAAGGTTCTTCTTCTCCTGTGATTCATATTTAATTGCCTGAAGAAATGGGTGGGAGGAAAAGCATCATGACCACGGAACGGGAGTAAGATGGAACTAACAAGCAAGGCATGCTGTAACTCACCACTGAAACAGTTCACTCAACACTCACCCGCCATGCAGTCTTTTGATCGCTTTCACTCTGGCGAATCTTCAGGTCAACGTTCTGCTTCAGACCTTGTGTAACCTGCCGGTCCGTACCGGCTGCCAAACACTCAGTGGCACGCGGCCTAGTCAACTCCTGCACCTCCGTCCCCTCCTCTTCCCGTGCAAACCCCGACATCATATCCTGCGTTCTCTTCCTACTATTACCTCGCACCCCGCTTACATCCAATGGCTTATTACTCTCAGCCCATTGCTCCTTGTGTTTTGCCAAGTCCCCCTTAACCACTGCCAACTCTTCTTTCACCACTGCCAACTCCCCATTGACTGCTGTCAGCATGTGCTGCAACTCTTTCACCTCCTCCTTGTGTGCAGCCAGCTCCTCTCTCACTGCTGCCAGCACCGCCTCCTTGATTGACTCATTTACTGCAGTCGTCACTCCCTCGGCAGCCATATCATCCACTCACTCATTCCCCTCAAGCAACACTCGTTCAATAACTGGCTGATCCCGTTGTTCAACTGTCTTTTTAACAGGAGACTTGCGAAAGCAAACAACCCTGAGAAGGGCAGGGTTGAGGGTCGTCAGAGAAACCAGAACGTGAAAACAAAAGAGGGGGAAGAGGCATGGTCAGTAAACACGCGACAAACAAGATCGATAGCGTGGGCGTGAGGGATGAGGCAGTGATGTGAGTAAGGGAGGAGGTAAGGAGCAGCAGAAGAGGGAGCAGCAGCAGAACTGGCAAAAAAAGGGCTGGCACACAGAGGGCTGGCTGGCACACAGAGGGCTGGCTGGCACACAGGTAGTGTACAGCCAGTCAGTCAAATGAAATGGGTTGAATGAGCAGAGAAGTAAAAAGTTACAACAGTGGTGAGAGAAAAGTGGGTCTAGGAAGGAAATTGTAGGTCGAGAGGAAGGAATAGGAGAGACTTGAATAGCAAAGACAGATGCCTTATCTGCTCCTAAGTCTTTTGAAACAAAAACGCATTTTGTTGTGCGAACAAATATTGAGGTGAGGTGAGGGTTGCAAACGTGGCAGCAGAACCAACAGGAACAGGCCAGAAAGGAATAGGGAGGCGGAAGGCAGTAAGATAGGATGCAGCAAGAGGATGCGGAGCAGCAGCGACCACAAAGGACGAGCTCAGCTCAGCCGGCCCGGCATCAAACATGCAACTGCGACCCTGCTAGATCTTCGGCTTACCACAGTGACACAGGCGAGAGAAGCCGGAGCAAGCACACTGCGAGGGGATATGATAGTACGAGTGAGCCGTGGGAGACAACAATGGTAATGAGTGGTGGCTGGCCCTTTGAGGTGTTCTTTGAGCCGATTACTGAACTCGACTCGACTCCCAACGAGGTTTAAAATTCCACCAGGCTCTCTTCGAGCTGGAATCTCAGCGAGCTGGTCTCTTTGCGAGTTGAGACATATTTTGAGGCTGACCAGCAACCAATGAGACTCGGGTCATGCTAGTGGTCACTCACCGACTAGGTCACTCACCGACTAGGTCACTCACCGACTAGGTCACTCACCGACTAGGTCACTCACCGACTAGGTCACTCACCGACTAGGTCACTCACCGACTAGGTCACTCACCGACTAGGTCACTCACCGACTAGGTCACTCACCGACTAGGTCACTCACCGACTAGGTCACTCACCGACTAGGTCACTCACCGACTAGGTCACTCACCGACTAGGTCACTCACCGACTAGGTCACTCACCGACTAGGTCACTCACCGACTAGGTCACTCACCGACTAGGTCACTCACCGACTAGGTCACTCACCGACTAGGTCACTCACCGACTAGGTCACTCACCGACTAGGTCACTCACCGACTAGGTCACTCACCGACTAGGTCACTCACCGACTAGGTCACTCACCGACTAGGTCACTCACTGACTAGGTCACTCACTGACTAGGTCACTCACTGACTAGGTCACTCACTGACTAGGTCACTCACTGACTAGGTCACTCACTGACTAGGTCACTCACTTGCTGCTTCACTCGAACCTAGGCCCATTAGAGGTGAGCTTTCCCACAAGCTCGGTCAGTCAGAGCAGAGCCTATGTAAGACAGAGTGTATGTTAGATACGGGCTAGATTAGCCACAAGATGGGTCACTCACAGACCAAGTCAGTTGGATAGTTTTAAGGTACATCAGTCACCGGCTAGGTCAATCACACGCAAGGCCAAATGGAGGTTTGGTCATTCACAAGCTAGGTCACTCACTCACATGCTACGTCAGACTCAAGTTAAATCAGTCAAAATATCAGTCAGTGAAAAACTATGTCATTCACAGGTTAAGGCAACCACAAACAGAGACACAATCACAGTTAAAAATTTCCATGGAATAGGTCGATCCCACGCTAGTCAAGCACAAGCTAGGTCTGACACAAATCAGGTGGTCATACAAGCTAGGTTAGTCATAGTTGGGACGGTCACATGCAAGGTTAACCACAGGCGCGGTTAGATGCGAGCAGCGAGTCAAGTTTTGACTCGACTCGCCCTACTCGCTTGTCACGAAGTGGAGTAAGTTCAATTTGCACTGTGCAAATATTCTATTTGAATCAACACTTGTCGAGCCGTGTCAGCTCAAGTTATTGGCCAATTCAATGCATCGCTTGACTGGGTTGCGTCATCAAAGCCTGCCAAGTCGGTGACGCGACGAGATGCAGCTGACTTGTCGCGAGTTAAATAGGTTGTCGCAATCAACCGAGGCACTTACCTTGAGTCAACCAGCATATGTTCAGAAACTGCTCGCGATCCATTTTCCATCTCTTCTCAATTTTATCTCTCCAAACCATCCGACCTAAACGGTTGACCTAGATGGTTGGTTCTGATGGTTTTTCCATCTACCTTGGATCGTATTGCCCACGCTCGAAGCAACTCACTTTGGTCTACACGCCTTAGTGCTGCCAAGCAACCCGCTTTGGGTCGGTCGTTCTCCCTTAGCTCCGCCAAGGGATCCGCTTCAGCTCGTAGTTTTTTTCTTCTGAGAAAAAAAAGGTATCTGGAATTTCAGCCTCGGGGCCGACTCTACCTGACATTTAACTCTCGACCCGAGGTTGACCCGATTCAAGCCTAACCTGACTCAACGTGACTCGCCCCTGGTTTCGCACGCACCAACGATCTGAGATGCCGCGAATCACACACGAGAGATTGGAATGCCTTTGTAACGAGCAGATAATGCTTGAGGAAGGAATATCGACTAGCCGTATGATTGCTACTAACTGCGATGCGGGTTTGGATACTGAATATGCCACATCGATGAGCAGTAACGCCGAGCAGATCTGGCTAGTAGTCAGCAGCAGTCGAGTGACTTCCACCACGGTAACGTTTCTGCTCGTGACTCGTGCTCGTTTCAAGTTTGTCATGCTTGGCAGCCAGAATTCGCATCATTCACCGATGTGCATACGTACAAACGTCGTCACGTGAGCGAAAAATGCGTCGGGAGTGCCAATAAAATTCGCAATCTGTAACGGCTGAGGGAGGAGCGCTGGCGTTGGTGTCGTACCCGCTCAAAGCACATGTTTGGGTGAACTGAGATCGGGACAGTGACTTACGAATTAGGTCTCAATGTTTCGCGAGTATAATTTGGGTTGTTTTGCAACCCGGATGGTAACTCTAATTTGAACATGACATGACGGCCGTTTCACATTTTTCATGCCTCAACAATATCCTCCACGCAATCCTCCCCGCTACTCGCTGTAACTTATAACTAGCGCTGACTGCTAAGTTCCGTTCGCCAACAGCTAGATCCGCGCCATCATGCACGGGTCTCACCATCCACATTCGATAACCTGTGTCGCCACGTGTCAGTGCAGCGAAAGCGACCAGAATCGAGAAACATTAGTCTCTCGTGCGCAAACGCGCCTCGGCTGTACAACGCGATGAAGCCACGTTTAGATCCAAGGATTATATTTTCCGGCAGTTTTCAGTGCGAGATCCAGTATTCAAGTTCAAGGCACTGCGATCGACAGGGTGAACGAGCTGAAGGCGGGCAGTATGACCCAATTCCTCGAATCGCGTTCGCAGTCGATCCCATGCATGCGTTACCCACGTGGCTGCGGCGACGGGGGTGAAACGCAGCCTGGCATGCGGTGCTGTACGGTGCTCTCCTCACACGAGATGATGGTTGGAACATCTCTGCCTCACGGCCGGGGACGGGCTAAGGGCTGGGATGGGGAAATGCGAGATGCAAACGGTGACATGATTGGACGGATGAGATTGCGAGGCGAACGCAGCCCGTAGCATGCATGGTGTAACATGACGCCGCCCTCTTTTCCTCTCTCATGTCCCCTTACCTTTGCCTACTCTCGCTCCCGAATCAAAACCCCACCTCTGGTTATCCACTCCCGAGTTCTCTCTGACCTGTTTTCCCTACCTCCGAATCTGGAATTACCCCATTCTGAGTTCCTCTCCACTTTCTGCGGCGTCAATCCTCCTCATCCTCTCTCCTCCACCCCTGCTCTTCACCGCTGCCACTCTCTTGGCTAAGAACCGCCTTGCTCAAACTGGCAGCTCGTTGCCACCATCTGGCACGCCACCGCCACACAAGTCTACTGTGAGTGGTCGTCCACTTCGCTGTTTCCTGCAGTCCCCCCCTGGATCCATCCCCCCGGATCAACTCCCCCTGGATCCATTCCCCCTGGATCCATTCACCTTGGATCCATTCACCTTGGATCCATTCGCCTTGGATCCATTCGCCTTGGATCCATTCACCTTGGATCCATTTTCCCTGAATTCACTTCCCCTGGATCCATTCCCCCTAAATCCGTTCCCCCTGGATCCATGCCCCCCGGATCCATTCCCCCCGGATCCATCCCCCCCTGTATCCACTCCCCCTGGATCCATTCGCCTTGGATCCATTCACCTTGGATCCATTTTCCCTGAATCCACTCCCCCTGGTTCCATTCCCCCTGATTCCGTTCCTCCTGGATCCATTCCCCCCGGATCCATTCCCCCCAGATCCATCCTTCCCTGTATCCACTTCTCCTGGATCCATTCCCCCTGGAACCATTCATGAAAGAATCCATGTATTCATGAAAGAATCCATGTTTTCTGGATCCATTTCCACTGGATCCGTTTTCCATGGAATCGTTTATTGCGTCACTTTTCCCACGCCGCTTATAAAACTTCCATGCGTCCTGCTCATCCCATTTCACCCTTGCCTAATACCAGCCGTACCTCCTTGCAACTTACTATGAGCCTTGCTTATCTTTTCTTTTTGACTCGTATCGCACCTATTCAGTTCAGCTTGCCACTTCGTAATGAGGCCTTTTCGCATCTGCCCTTTTCCACGTATTGTTGCTGTTCTTGTCACCAATTTCGACCTTTTCTTTTTCCTCCTCCACTTGGCATGGCACTCATATTGTTTGACTCCTGAGGGTGGATTCATTTGACTCTTGTTTGCATGGCCATGCACATCCACATTGTTTGCGTGTAGAGGAATCATAACTTGACATGAGAGCTGAGGAGCATTATTTCAGCCTTTCCATCCATTCCTGACTGTCTCGTGCGTCATGTCCCCTACCCCAACTTGCTGTCAGATTGCGCTCGCGGCTTGCCAATTGCTTGAACTGCTCTTCTCCACGCCATTCCTTCGTTCTGCACTCACCTTCCAAAGTACGCAATCATTTTCAGGATATCCATCTCTCACCTGTGCGTCCTTCCCATGTTGCTGCTTCGGTGTTGTGCAAAGCTCCTTCCATCCATCAGCGTCCGCTTTCTTCAGCCTCTCCTTTTTGCCAGCCCTGCTGCTGCTGCTGCCGTCTTTGCCCACCTAATTCTTCAGATGCACCTAGGTTTGACAATCGTTGCTTTCCTTTATGTGTTCCCTCTTCACTCGCCAACAGTTTCCATGCGCTTGAATCTTGTCCCGGTATTTCCAGTCCGTCCCTATCAAAAGTCCAATTGCGTCCACACGCTACTGTTTCTGTTGTCCTGCCACTTATCCCTCCAGCGGCTTACACCGCCTCTCTCCCTTCTTCCTTTGTTGCTGCCGCTTTTCCTCTCCTCCCCTTGCTGCTCCCGTGTATCCCCTCCTTCCCTTGCTGCTGCCGCTTATCTCCTCGTTCCCTTGCTGCTGCTGCTTATCCCATCCTTCCCCTGCCACTGGCCGTCTCCCTTCGCTGCTCCTGCCGCACCTCACTGTGTTGTGCAGGCGCACGCCTTGCATTGGGCTCGCCCCATCAGCCATGGCTCGGATGACTGCAGTGGCCATGCTTCTGCCAGGGCTGCTGATCGGCATCATTCTCGGTGCTGCCATCACACTCATCACTGTCATTACCAATAAGCCCCTTCACAGAGATGACTGGCGTGCCATCACGTCCTCTGCTGATGACGTGAGTGCTTACTGCCATGGCATATATTTGATGCATGATGGTCGCTCTTTGGCATGCTGAGCTGAGCACGCCATGCCCACTCCAACACAGCTGCACATGTTATCCACATTGCGGGTTTCTAGCACTTGTGCCCGTGCCTTACACCTTGCCTCATGTCTCAGCGTGCACCTGTGCTTTCCATGTTGTATCTTGCAGGTGCCACGTGACAACAATAAATTCAGCCACCCTCTCTTGCTTTTCTCTACTTCCCTTCCTCATGTGAGCAAGATTTCTCCTTCTCTCCATCATCCATCCATCACAGTGCCGTCTATGGTTTCCTCGCTTACATTTTTTTATTCAATGCTCAATAATGATGGCAGGATCGGCATTCAATGTAGTCGCATCTCTCTGTTACATGTGTGTGTGATGTGCTTTGTGGGTGTGTATGCTTGCACATGTGTGCATGAGTCAGTGTGTGCTTGCATGCTCGTTTTTGTTTGTGCATGTGTTCCCATTTGCATGCATACATGTGTTGTCTATCTCAAGCTAATCCCCCCTGCCACGTGTCAGAATGCCACGTGCCTATCTCCCACTCGTGCTCATTCCATCGCCACCTCCCCTCACCATGCCCACACTCTCCACGTGCCCCTTCACTCCCTCCACACCCTGGTGCCTGTTGTGATGGCCGAGGTTTTTGCGGGTGCCTGAGTTTATTGTTCAGAAATTTTGAGCCCTTTCCGTATTCATGTCTCACTGCTTGTTCTCCCACACCTGCAGTCTCCGGGTGCATTTCATCTACTTGTGCTTTATACTGCAATCTCCATTGTCGTCGCTACTCTGGTAGTACTGCTGTGGGGGATGGGCGTGACCCACACGCAAGTCAGAGCATGGGTGCATCAGCAGGGCTTGGCTGTGACGGCTGGGCTGATGAAGCTGAAGAGTGCAAGCAAGTGCCTCCTGGTATGCCATGCGCTCTGCTCCCCACCACTGCAGCTTTGCCTCTCTGTCAATCGTTTCGTCTCGAGGCAATCTCCCCCTCTGTTTCATGCATACACTACGTCGTGCCCCTTCACTCCTTGTTTACGTGTGGCTGTGCATTCCTCACCATTCATCTTGCCTCCTCTCTCCTCCACTCCCTTCACCATTCATCCATCCTTCCTTTGATCGCCCTCACCATGCTGCAGCCACGTGGTTTCGCCCCTCTGCTGCACAGCCCCATGTGAGCATGCCACTCCTCACTAGTTTTCAACCTCAACGTAATCTCTTCGGTTCTCATGTCCTTGTTGACAAAGTGGTCCCTTTTCGTGGTGGCATGGCTGCTTGTGTCATAATGCTGTCATGCTGTATGGCCTGTTCTTTACAATATGAGCTCTCTTTTCTCAGTTCTACTCTTGTTTCCTCTCTTAAATTCATCACATGTCCTAATGCGCCACCTGCATTTTCTCTCTCTTAGCCTCCCTAAGTTCTTTATTTCCATGTCTGCTGCCCGTCTGCACTCGTGTGCTGCTACCTGTGTGCTGTATTGCGTAGGAGGCATGCCTATTCTGGGTTGCAGAGAATGGGGGAAGCTGCTGGGACTGCCATAGCGAGTATGGTTGGAATACGCGAGTTGAAAGAGTCCGTGGAGATGAGAATGAGGGCGCTTGGCGTGCAGCTGGAAGAGACTGAGAGGAGACTAGTGACGGAGTTGAGGGAGATGAAGGAACAGCAGCATGATGATGTGATGCAGCTGCGGGATGAGGAGGAAATCCAGCAGAGTGCAGCCATCCAGGAGATTGCATGGCAGGTGAGTGCTTCGTGAAATGATCAGGGCATGCATGGATTCAGTTTGAGCATCCTTGAGTTACATCTGTCCTTCTTCGCCCATTCCCACCAGCGAATCAACTCGGAATACCAGAGTACCAGTATGGATCTATCCTCTCTCGAAGGTGTCTCAGATATCATCCTCCACGTTTTGTCCACGCTGACGCACCTCAAGAGCATTGACTTGTCCTCTAGCTCAGGCTTCACTGCAGAGGGCGTCAAGCACCTCTACAGTCTGCCATTGTTGGAGACTCTAGACCTCAGAGGCACAGCCGTGTCAGACAGTGCCTTGGAAGGCATTGGGTCCTTGACCAGTCTCAAGGAGCTCTATCTCTGGGAGACCGAGGTGACTGATGCTGGACTGACACACTTGACACTCCTTTCCTCTCTTAAACTTCTAAGCCTTGCTAAATGCTATGGTCTGACAGCAGCTGGCATGGTGCATGTGGGGAGGCTGACAGGGCTTGAGCAACTTGTGTTGGCTAGGACGGCAGTCACAGATGCTGGTCTGCGGCACTTGATAGGTCTCTCCTCCCTCAAACTGCTTAGCCTATATGGATGCGGGGGTGTGACGAGTGCTGGCATGGTGCATGTGGGGAGGCTTATGGGACTTGAGACACTTTGGCTGGAAGGGACAGCAGTCACAGATGATGGCATGGCAGATGTGGGGAGGCTGATTGGGCTTGAGAAACTTTTCTTGGGTGTGACGGCAGTAACAGATGCTGGTCTGCTGCACTTGACAAGTCTCTCCTCTCTCAAATTGCTTAGTCTTTCTGGATGCAAGGATGTTAGTAATGCTGGCATGGTGCATGTGGGGAAACTGACAGGGCTTGAGAGTCTTATGCTGGATGGTATGGGCGTCACTGATGATGGGCTGCAGCTCTTGACAGCTCTCTCCGCTCTCAAGGTGCTGAGCCTCCCCAACTGCAAGGGTGTTACAAAAGCTGGCATGGTGCATGTGGGGAAGCTGACGCGGCTTGAGACCCTTAGTCTGGGTGGTACGGCAGTCACGGATGATGGGCTGCAGCAGCTGACTGCCCTGACCAAGCTGTCATTTCTCGGGCTGCCGAATGGGAAAGTGGCTTCCAAGGAGGACGTACGCAGGTGGATAACAGGTAGCTGGTAGGGGGTGATGTGGAGGGGAGGGAGACGAGGTGAGGGCAGAGTTGTCACTGACTGCTCGGACACCGGCGAGGAGCAGCATGGAGGCATGGGCTGTGTAGATGAGGGAGGGCAGTGGGCACATGGAGGAGTGTTCAAGCTGGCTTGGCAAGGCTTTGCATTGTACCACCAGAGCAGGCTGTGGTGCTGTAAAACAGGAGTACTAGTAGGAACGATAGATGTGCATGCACGAGGATGTAGCGTCATGTTTGAGGGTAAGGTAGTCTGTTGACTAGGTTGGTTGACATGTTGCTACATTGATCTGCCATAGCGGACTGTGACTGAAACCGGTGATATGCTCGCATGATAATGTTGGAGTGTGTAGTAGAGTGTATGACTAAGGAGCATGCTATTTGGTGCCTGGGCATAGCAAGTGAACCTGTGGCTTCACTCTCTCGCGTGCGGTTGAATAGCTCGTACAGAGGAGAGACTGCATGACTGGCTATATGGGTGTAATTCTGCAAAAACGATTCGGCTGCCTATGCATCTGATGCACTTCTCTCTTCATCCAAGTACTGTACAATCATTGGAGATTTATGGAACGTTTACTTGGAATGACTCGTTGATATAATGGATACAAATCCTTGCTTCAGGCAGAAGTTGCAAGTGCACCCCCTATCTCCAGCCTGACACCCGCTCATTTTGTCCTGCTGCGTGGCACCCATACTGTGTCCTGAGCTCGAGAGGATGCGGGGTAGTAAGTGAAGGCTAGCACCCTTCTTGTGTGCCTCTGAAATTGAGAAGGTTTTGCTGTGACTAGGTGATGGGGAGGCATGAGAGTGCAGGGCGGTGGTGATGCAGTGCTAAAACAAAAGTGACCAGCAAAGTAGCTGGATGCGTAATGTGAGTTGGGGTATGCAATAGTGAAAGCCCTGGGGCATGGGTGCAGCATAGGCCACGGCAGGTCTACTGGTGCATCAAGGTGGCTGGCATGAGGGGCTGACGGAGTTGACAGAGGGGATGAGGTCGCAAGAGATGCAGGGTGACAAGGGCTGGGAAAACATATTGGGTTGTTGCAGAGGGAAGAAGACAAGACAATTGGCACAAAGGAGGTGGAAGAGACGTTTTAAATCATCTTAGACAAAAGCTAGGAGAAGATGTTGGGCATTATGCTGGGACAGGGTGAAGGGTAGGCATGGGTGAGGCAAGGGCATTAAGGAAAGCGAAAATCATTCAGAAATGACAGTGCAGTATGGGATGAGGTATGGGATGAGGTGTGGGATGAGGTGTGGGATGAGGTGTGGGATGAGGTGTGGGATGAGGTGTGGGATGAGGTATGCAGCATGTGCCGAAACTACCCTTTCTTACAGAATCACAAAACATGGCTTTTCATCTGAATGTGAGGCAACACAACCCCACCACCCTCCATAGTCTTTGACTTTGCAGTGCCAATTATTGCCATTCCAGCCGTACACATTCTGGCCATGCCACCAGCATCACCTGTCTCCACATGACCATCATGCGAGTCGATTGTTAACATCCTCCCCCTTCCCACATGCCTTTCACTTCCTTGCACGGCCAGTTCCCCCCCCTTTGCCCTCTTCGCCAACCCCTCTTCCCCCCCTTCCTAACCACCACCACGCACAATTCTCTTCGAACCCTCCCTCCCCTGCGCCATTCACGCACACTGCATTCACCCACCTTTGTGACGTGCTGCAGCAGGGCCTCTCCACGCCAGGCCTACTGGTGCACCATGCTTCCATGAGGAGCCCGTGCAGGGGAAATGCAAGGAAAATGGCAGCAAGATGTGCAAGGCAAGGGCTGGGAGAGGATTCTGGGCTATTTGCAGAGAGGGGTAGTCTCGAGGCGTAGTCAGGAGAATTGGCAGTGGCAGGAGGAGGAGGGGCATGAAACCCAAAGGGAGGAGGGGCATGAAACCCAAAGGGAGGAGGACCAGAGGAGGCTGCTACTGCTGCAGCTGTTGGTGGTGTTGGGACGTGCGAATGTGTCAGGCAGTTGAATTGCTTTCGGCACCTCCCTGCTGCCGGCATCAGAAATTCAAGATGGAAAAGAAAGGAGGGCGGAGGGGATGGATAGAGAGGGGGCAAGCCGGGAATAGGTAAGGACATAGGTGGTAGGATCAAAGGTACAATGTCTACTGGAATAGGTTATGTGGGAGAGAGGGAGAGGTGCTTCTGAGGGTGCGGTGGGTACATAAGAAACATGACATACGACGGGAAGGAGGGCGGAGGATGGAGGAGGGTTGGATTTGAGGGGGGAAAGAGGGTGGTTGGAAGGGTTTGTGCAACACCTGCCATACAATCATACTTTGCCCTGGAGGGTGGTCGGCTCTTTCTGCAACGCCAGCCCCTCTCCCCTCCACCCACCATAGTGGTGGCATGGGACACTGCTTCAGCTGCGAGTTCATTGAAGGAGTGATTCAGCTGCATGTGATTGTGGACGGACCAACGTCGCGAAGTGGGCTGTTGGGTTGTGGAAGGAGAAGGGAGTTGGAGGGGGAGGGGGTTAGGAAAGAAGGGAGGGGGAAGGGGTCGTCGGACAGGAGGGGGTGTAGTGGAGGTGTAGGGGGGGAGATAGCAAGTAAGCACACCCACCAAACAAAATTCAGCCAGCCCCCCGTCTCCTCCTCTTCCTCCTCCTTCTCCTCTTGCTTCCTCCTGTCGCTTGCTTCTGCTCCTCTGGCTGCACCCTCCTTCACTACCTACCTCCTTCTTTTCTCACCTGCCACCTTAATAGCTGTCAGCAGCGTCATTCCAGCAGGAGGGTGCAGATGCAGGCAGACAGATCACATATTATGACGAGCGATTAGTAGGCAAAACGGGGGAGAGTTAATGTGTAGGTGAAGCACCACAGAGTCACGGACATGCTTGACTTGACCACACTTTCAGTCACAGCATGCGATGATGCCACGTGCTGGCTCACTCGCACCTCTTCACTCTTAACATGGAGCCTAAAAGTCCCGAATGACCAGCATTCGACCAGCGTGGAGCCTGAAAGGACCAGCGTGCAATCAGCTCTGCTGCCTCACTCTTCCCTTCTCTCCACGCCTTCCTCCAGCCTGGATTCCTCCACTCGCTGCCACCATTGCTGCTGCTGCAGCCCGTGCCTCTTATGCCGTCCAGCCGTCCATCGTAGCGATAGGTTGGCTTCATCAGGGGGCAGGTGCTGATGGTGTGTGTGGGGCAGAGAATAGAGCGAAGAGGGTATTCAGCGAGGAGGGGGGGTTGGCTAACGCTGGCATTGCACGGAAAAGCAGTGCTTCAACACGTCGCCGTAGTTTATACCATCGTGACGTAACTAATACTGCGGGTTTGACTCGGAGAGCGGACTTGGCATACCTAGAGAGAAAGCACAAAGCCGACAATTTGATGCCTCGCTCTTCACTGCCACCACTGCTGCTGCCCGTCCATTCACCACGGCTCCTTCCGCTGGAAGTAGCTCCGCCACGTGTCGTTCGTGTGTGGCAGAGATGAACTGAACAAGGGTGCTGGTGGTGTGGAACGAGGGGGAGGGAAGCGCAGAGACTGAGCAAGCGACATGGACGCAGGGCGGGAGGCGGAGCAACAGCAATGGATGGAAGAAGGGAGGGAATGACGGACATTCTGCTCGAATTCAATGTGGAACAATGTCCTGCGCGCCGTCCTATCAGAAGCTGTCAGCCAAGGGACCGTTATCTGAGAGGGTAACGCGCATTCATTCCACCTGCTGCCACGACGCAGCCGTGTATCCGCCCATGACGAATGCGCCGACGGGATCTATCACTGGAAGTGCGACGATAGCACGTGAAATTCGCGTGTCTCGCCATCACGCTCCTCGCCGCGCAATTCAGTGGGATTTCGTGCATCGCGAAACGAAGGGCTCGTATCGCGACGGAGTCTGAGCACGAAACCCTAAAAGTAACGTCGTGTCTCGCCACTCTCGCGGCTAGTGGCGACATCGAGGCTGAGTGATTGACAGCATTATAAATCGTCAACCCTGGTGGCGCATGTACTTAACGGGCTCGACTCGTAGCGGTATAACTGGAGGAAACGGTACCTGATGAGTTTCTCCGCGAGCCTCGGTCTAGCGAACCCTGTGAAGTGGAATCTAGGGGTGCCGAGGGCCTATTCAACACCACCGAGAGGCTGAGCACGTTCGGAACGAACGCAAAAGGTTCGCCGATATAGCGGTTCAAAGACCGATTTTGAGTAGGCTGTAACACCAAAAGTGGGGATGCAAACCAGGCTTGAAAACTGCCTCGCAATGTGGAACATTTGCAACACATATGAAATGTCCTAAGTGTCAGTGACGCGTCTTCGGAAAATACGAGACTAGACTAGATCGATCGAAGTAGTGTGAGAACCATCTCCCTCGGCCTTGTTTCTGGTTTTGAGTCTCGAAATGACTCAAGCCTTGTTTCTATCGGATCCTAAGCTACTAAAGAATCTGGAAAACGTCGCGCGAGTCGGTTTAGCCACTGCATTGGACACGACGATGATTTCGAGGGTAGTCATGAATGACAGTGGTGGAACAACTGCGATGCTCAATGTGCGCGAGGAACATGTGAATGTGGTGCGGTCGAGGGTTTCGGCTGAGGGATTGCCGTCACGCATAACCGCGTCAGACGCCGGGAATGCCGTGTTTATCCATGGTGGTTCGTACGAGGTGGAGCGATTAGCATGTACGCTCTATAGGGCATCGACGTCATCCGTGCCAACTGAATGACTCGGTACAGGAATCCCCCCATCGAAAATACCCCATCGGGAAGGCAGGGCTTTCGAATGGGTGGCGAGAGGCGAACGACCTTTCGAGACCCATCTGAATGGGAGTTTGAGGCGAGTAGAAGGCGTGCGTCGCGAGTGGATGGATGGCGCTGCGCGTGCCATGCATGGTGACGCGCAGCACCTCGGATCGGAGGTAAAGTGGCTTTCCCTCGTTCAACCTCCTCTGCCTTCTTCTCCCTCATTCTCTTTCGAGCTTTCCTCCTCCTTCGCTCGCCTCCCTCGCTCTTTTTTCTGCAGAAAAGCCAGCATTTAGCAGTTTTTCTTACTTCCGCCTTTTTTTTTTCGTGCGGAGCCTTGTCCGTCTGTCTGCTGAGAAGCGCCTGCTGCCATATCTTCCTAGTTCCCATTGCTGTCGGCTGCCTCTCTTCTGGTGCGCCCTTTCGCCCTGGGCTGCGCTGCTGCGGAGCTCGTCTGTCTGTTTGCTGAGAATGTTCTTTGCTTATCACTTTGCTTTGCATGTCTTCTAACATCTCATATGATTTCATCTCAGCTTTTCTTGCTTTCCATGTCCAATTCAATTCCTCCCATCTGCCCCTCTTCAACTTGCTGATGCTACTTTTGTTATTGTTCACACCTATTCCTCGTCTTCTTGGCCAGCTGTTCACTTAGTGCGAATGTCATGAGAATAAATCGATCCCAAAAGATCATACCTCCCGGGTGCCTCCTGTGTCTCATCCCCGTACCTACTTCTACCCACGGTCAACACCTGCCCCTCCCCCCCCCCCCCCCAACCCCACACACACCCCCAGCTGCCCCTTCCCTCTTCACCTGCCCTTTCCGTTCTGCCAAATCGTCCGTCGGGGAAGATTCGGCCATTCCACCAGTTGTTTGTCGCTCTGCTGTCGTCCTGTGAGGTGAGCATGCCTTCCACTCATCTCATCCATTTTCAGTTCAGCTTGTCATTACCGTGCCATATTCCGTTTCTTTCCATGTCCAATCCAAGTTGCCCCACCTTCAACTGGCGGCTGCAAATTCTGTCACCAAATTTGCACTTGTTCATTTCTCTTGCTCCTCCTTGGCCAGCCATTTATTCTGTCCTTCTTGTCGCGATGATTTATTTAATGAGATTCTTGTCACCCGCAAGCTTTTTGCCACGCCAGCATCTTTCTTGCAGTTAATTTCACTATCTTCTCTTTTTCCTCTCCCATGCTTTCACTATCTTCTTCCACTCACATGTGCACACGTCCTCAGCTGCTCATGTAACGCACCGTCTCAGCTGCCCCTTACTTGCTGCCGCTAGATCGAGTTTCACGCCAGCCGCCCCGCTCCGCCAGCCGTTCTTCTTTCTGCCATCCTGTGAGGTCGCCTTTCCCTGATTCTTCTACCTTCAAATCATCCAGATATCCCCTCTACATCCTTCCCTACTGCACAGCTGCGTCACTGCCGGGCAGACCACTATCTATCTCTCGCCTAACCCTATGAACTCTCTCCACCACTTTCTCCCCTTTACGCATGCGCCTCATCCCTGCATGCACTCATCCTATCCGGTCTTGCCATTAGAGCAGCCTTTTCATCTGGGTGCGTCATTCTTCGCCATCCATTTCTTGGTTTGACAATCACCCCACGAGGTCGCTATCTCTGTCCTCCTGGATTCTTCTTTCATTCTTGCACTCCAGCATCTCTCACAACTCCTTCTCTGTGCTTCCACTGCTGCTCATGTTTACCTTCACCCGCCTTCTCCCACCACGCTCAGAACGCATCTCCTTTGTCCTCTTCCATCTCCCTGTTCTGCTCTCTCACCCTCTTATTCCCTGACCACTCTTGGTCTATGTGACGGAAGACGCGTCTAGCGTCTTAGACGGTTGCGTCTAGACGCAGCGTCTAAGACGCTAGACGCATTTCCGCCTAGGTTAGACGCATATTAGACGAAAACCCGGGCAGGCCTAAAAAAGATGTTCGGGCAGCCTAAAAAAACTTCTGAAGGCCATGGGGAGGGTGGAGGACATGCACATATGGCACATTTGGGTCAAATTTCCGCCGTACCAAAGGTTTTTCCCCATAATTAGAGTTCACAAAAAACCTCCTTTCTCATCATACATAGACATAGTTAGGAACCTCGTCTCTCTAGCAGTAGCAAACACGAAGTAAATAGCTACTACTACATCCGTGCAAAAAAAAAAAAAAAAAAAACGGGCTGCCCGAAATTTTTTTACCCAAGCGTCTAGCGTCTAAACGTGCGTCTAGCGTCTAGCGTCTAGACGCTGCGTCTAGACGCTAGACGCAAGACGCGTCTTGCGTCTTCCGTCACATAGCTCTTGGTCTGTTCATGCTCGTTCCACCCCTACAATCCACTCTGTCCATCGCTTCGTTCGCCTCATCCCTCCCGCCCATGTCATTGGTCTTTGTTCGTGTTTGCATTGACCCGCCCATTTTCCCTGTTTTGTTCTTACGTTTCTCTTTTCTCTCATAACGCGCAGCCCTATCCTACCCCCAGTCTGCGGTGAAAAAGGGCGATTGAATGCACGAATCGGTCAGTCATTGAACGAGGGCTGTTCGAGGGGAGTGCGTAGACGATATGGCTGCTGAGAGGGTGATGGGTACACTGATAGACGTGGTGAAGGAGGCGGTGCTGGCAGCAGTGAGAGAGGAGCTGGCTGCACACAAGGAGGAGGTGGATGAGTTAAGGCACATGTTGACTACTGTGGAGGAGAGGAATGAGGCAACTGCTGCTGTGGTGAAGGAGAGGGAGGGAGACTTGGCAGCAGTGAGGAGGGAGTTGATCTCAGTGAAGAGGGAGTTCACCTCAGTGAAGGGGGAGCTGGCAAGAGTGAGGACCGGATTGGGTGAGCACAAGCATTCAACTACATTGCAGCTGCAGGAGGCTGAGAGGATATGGGTGGCGGAGATGAGGGAGATGAGAAGGCAGGGGAAGAGAGGATATCAGATGGCTGCAGAATATGCAGTAGTGAAGGGGGGGTTGGCTGAGCACAAGCAGTCCACGACGTTGCTGCAAGAAGAGGTTGAGAGGAGAGGAGTGGCGGAGATGAGAAGGCAGGCAGAGGAGATGGAGCAGAATCTGACCGCAGTGAAGGGGAGTCTGGTTGAAATCAAGGATGCTATGGCAGAACAAGTGATCATGGCTGAAAGAATGAGACAATCGGATTTGAGAGAGCTACGAGAGGAGGCAAGAAAGGGTATGGATGAAATGAGAGCAGAGTTGGCAAGGGAGCGGGAGGAGAGGAGGAGGGAGGTGCAGGAGTTGAATTGGCCACGTGTCATGGAGGAATTGGCTGCCTGCAAGGAATGGCAGAAGATTCAAGACATGAAGATGAATATCGAGCTGGAGATTAAACTCAAACAGAGTGAAGGCGACCGGAGAAAGGCGTTGGAGGTGAGTGCTAGAATACTGTTCCCCAGGGCGTTCAATGTTCCACATGCCATGTGTTGTCATTGACATGTATTACCTCTCCACCCATGTGCTACAGGCAATTACCACAGCATCACAAACGACCCTGTTGAACCTGAGAGATCTCAAGTGCCTTTCAAACGACATCCTCCGCCTCGTGTCCACCATGAGCCATCTGAAGAGCATTGACCTCACCGCTACCGCAGGCTTCGGTGCAGAGGGCGTCAAGCACCTCTACAGGCTGCCTCGGTTGGAAGTGCTAGGCCTGGAGAATACAGGTGTCTCAGACAATGCCTTGGAAGGCATTGGATCTTTGACCAGCCTCAAGTTGCTTGATCTCGAAGCGACCAAGGTGACCAATGCTGGCCTGCAGCACTTGACAGCACTATCATCTCTCAGACTGCTGTGGCTTTCTGAATGTAAGGGTGTGACGGATGCGGGCATGATGCACGTAAGAAGGCTGACAGGCCTTGAGGAGCTTGCTCTGGATGGCACGGCAGTCACGGATTACGGGGTGCAGCTACTGACTCCCCTGACGAAGCTGATAACTCTCTTGCCGCCAAAAGGGTTTTGGATTGAGAACGATGGCATGGAGGTACGCAGGCGGATAGTCGGATTGCAGGATTGGATGATGATGGGAAGGGACATGTGGTGAGGGAAGCGTTGAGTGAGGAGCGGCTAGATGCAAGGGGTATCCATGCATGCTGAGCATGGAACGGCGGTTGTGCGGCTGCATGTGTGATAGAGCTGTATTTTGCAGTGAGTTGCAAAATGGTCATGTGGCGGTCATGCCTAGCAGTTGGACAGCAGCAGGTGTGGGACTGGTTGGGCTAGAGACCACCGTGTGTGTGCATGAGGGCAGGAGAGGATGCAGAGGAATTTCCTGCCTGGCATTGCTTATGATGGAGGAGGAAGCTGTCAGAAGCAGGACGGATGGGGAAGGGAAAGGGAGGAGGGCAGTGAGGTGGAGCAGGAGGGGAAGTGAAGGGGAGGTGGGGAAGCTGGGGACAAGGGCGAGCAAGAGAGCGGTGAGTGAGGCGAGCATGGTGGGCGGCAGCAGCCGTGGTGGCAGCAGCAGAGGCAGCAGCACTAGCGGCAGCAGCAGTGGTGGGCGGGAATTAAGAACAGGGGTGAGAAATGTTCCGCATGGCTGCATGAGGGGAGCTGCATATGAAATACCTGGCTGTTTGGGTGCAGAGGAGAGGGCGTAGTGTGTATGAAGGAGCTTGTAAGATCTGCATGACTGTTCATCAGACAAAGCTAGGATGGTGGATACAGGGCCTGAGAGGCAGGGCCTGGATGGTACGACAATTACGTGGTATCATGAAAACTGAGGTCCCTGCTGCTGCAACAACTGCTGGGGAGTTGGGTGTGCTGTGAGGATCTGTGCACACAGCTTGGGGGTTATGGTTTCAGGGAATGATGATGGGGGGAAAAGGAGGTGAACTGACACTGAGGAGGAGGGGCTTGTAGGTGAAGAGTGAATAGAGTGGCGGTGTGTGCAAGTTGGTGGCTGGGTGATGCTTTGCCTTGTATAGCCGAGGCTAGGCGAATGATAGTGAGCTTGTGCTTTGACATCAGTTGGATGTGGGTGGGGTTCAACTAGTCTCGATGGCCCGACTTGGCTGCAAGCTACCGTAGAACTTCCACCACTGAAATCTTTTGTCAAGTTTAGGATCATCAGTATGATCAAGCCCAATCCAGGCCACGACATTTATTTGTATGATAACATATGTGCCCGTACGTATACTTCATGCATGTCTAGCAGCTTGCTAGAGTTCTTGTGGTCCATGATCCATGGGACAGAAGGCAGAGGTGAAAAGTGGGCAGTACCATGCCATGTCCTACATGCTTCTTAATCACCCCAAGCCAGCAAAGTCATTTCACAGGAACCTTGATGCATTACAACAATGCATGATCGGTCATACGGTAATAATAAAAGAGCACACATACATCTTCCGCGCAAATCAGGACAAACACTGCATCCATACACTAAACTACCAAGAAAGAGAAATAGAAACAGCACAGCAGAAGCAGTATTGCTTATCCAGCCATACCGTACAACATCTCCGCTCCACCACAGCAGAGGTCAGTCACTTCTCTAAGACGTAAGGCCTCTGCAGCCCACCTGATTGCAACTGACAAGTCCAAGAGGTGCTTAGCTGTAGGTGGCAGACACACAAACCTGCAATCAACAATGCAGCATTCGGGCAGGAAGCAAAGGAGATATTAGACGACGCTCGGCATTCGCACCGCATTTCAGCGCAAGCATGTAGCGCAGTGCAGGCAATCCCCACATCAGAGCAGCTATGCACGTCACGGCACGGCCAACACTCACGTAATCAGTGTCGGTCTCGCTCTCAGCATCACGGAAGGCCAGCCACGGGTTGAGCCTGACGAGGTCCAGGGTGCTGGCGCCATTAGCCACGGCAAACCGCTTCCAGTTCACCACACCGGGCGCCAGAGCGCGGCTCACACACTCCCAGTTGGCCTTGGCGGGTTCTCGCTCCACACAGAGAGAGCGGAATGCAGGGAGGCGTGAGCAGGAGTTGATCATTCCGGGGTTGTACCTCCACAGGTCCTCCTCAGAGAGGTCGAGAAACTTGGCCACTGAAGCGCATGTGTCATTCTGTGGAAAGGAGAGGCAGCAGTTAGTGGAAGGGGGGTAGGGGGGGAGGGGTGAAGGAACAAGGGAGTGGAGGAGCAGGTACTGCCGGGGCTGTACCTCCACAGGTTCTCCTCGTCTAGGTTGAGAAACTTGGCCACCGAGGCGCATGTGTCATTCTGTGGCGGGGAGAGGCAACGGGGGAATAAGGGAGAGGAGGGTTTGAGAAGAGGCTGCGTGGTGGAGACAAGGATGCGGCAAAACAGGGGTAGTGAAATTCCGGGAACGTCTAGGGAAGCGAAGGACTGAATAGCACGTGGTGCATTCTCCGCTGCGGTAAACCATGGTAGGGCAAAGCATGGTGGAGTAGCACGCGGTGAAAGGAGGGAGTGGGGTTGAAGAGGAAGTGCAATGCATGGGGAAATGGCTGAGCACATGGCAGCACGTGGCAGCAGCACACAGCAGCACATACACGATGCATACACAACGCATTCTAAGTCTGACTCAGAAGTCAATTGCATACCGGATGGAAGTTAGAGTGGGACACGGGAAACTCACAGGCTGGACGTAGTACAAGGCCGAGCAAGCTGGAAAATACTCCTTCACGTTCACGTACTTCGTACTGATAACCTTGGAGCAATCGATACCCTGGAGGGGGAGGGTAAATGAGAGAGGGAGGAGAAGAGTGAGAGAGGGAGAGGGTGAGTGAGGGGGAAGGGGTGAGAGGTTGAGAGTGAGGGAGGGGTTGAGAGTGAGGGAGGGAGTGAGAGAGAGGTAGGGGGTGAGAGAGAGGGAGGAAATGAGAGTGAGGAAGGGATTGAGAGAGAGGGATGGAGTGAGAGAGAGGGACGGGGTGAGAGAGAGGGACGGGGTGAGAGAGAGGGACGGGGTGAGAGAGAGGGACGGGGTGAGAGAGAGGGACGGGGTGAGAGAGAGAGACGGGGTGAGAGAGAGGAAGGGGGTGAGAGAGAGTGAAGGGGTGCAAGAGAGGGAGGGGGTGAGAGAGAGGAAGGGGGTGAGAGAGAGGGATGGAAACAATAAAAGGAAGGGGGTGAGTGAATGACTGTGAAGAAGCGGCAGAGATGTGCAGAGTTGAGATGAGAACGTCCCCAACGTGCCGAACGTGCATGTCATGGGACTCACCTGCTTCATGCCCATGAATTCCTTCAACGTGAGCCCAAACATGGAGTACACGTCCAGGGTTAAGGGTGCACGTCTCCCATCACAAGGCGCACTCAAGTTATGCATATCACGACGTATTGAAGTTACATACCACGCAACTCACCTGGTTCATGCCCACGAATTCCTTCAACGTGAGCCCAAACATGGAGTACACGTCCTTGCACGTCCAGTCATCGCCAGTGACCTCTTGCACCTCACGAGACTCTGACACCCTTGCTGCACACGATTAACAACAACCGAGAAGACGCGACATGCATAGATAGCTAGGTGACTTCTGAGTCAACTCATTAGGCACCTTCATTTATTGGCGGTGGCCTCTTGAATTTTACGACACTCCGAAACTCTAGCTGCACACGCACAATAGAAATGGTGAAGACGCAACATGCATGGATAACTAGGTGACTTTTTGAGTCGACTCAAACGGCACCTCCCAGTCATGGCTAGTGACCTCTTCAACCTCACAAGAGTCCAGCACCCTGGCTGCACACGATCAACAACAAACTTGAAAGGCCCTCAAAACCATTGTCCGTCACGACAGCAGCACACAGCCGTGACAATTCTGATGGTAGCAGAGAGAGCAAGCTTACCACAACCACCGGAATTCTTCTGGTCCTTGGGCGGGCAGATGCAGGAGAATCTTTGGGTGCCACTGTAGACGCACGAGCCCGCCTTGCAAGGGTTCAGCTGCGAGAGCAAGCTTACCACAACCGTTGGAAGTCTGTTGGTACTTGGGCGGGCAGATGCACGTGAAGGAGCTCCGGGCACGGCTGTCGAAGCATGAGCCTGCCTGGCACGGGTTCTGCCTGTAGCTTCCACATGCGCCCGCTGAAAGGGACCAACGAAGGGTCAAACGAAGGAAGCAGAGGATAGATCTGAGGGTTGGGACTTTTGGGTCCACTCAAAAGTCAGCAGCTGCCTGGCACGGGTTCTGCCTGTAGCTTCCACATGCGCCCGCTGGCGAGGCGAGGGACAAACGGAGGAACAAATGAAGGAACAAACGAAGGAACAAACGAAGGAGGCAGAGGGACAGTTTTTTAGGCAAGTCAAACAAGAAGCTCCTGAGAACGGTGTGGAAGCACGAGCCTGCCTGGCACGGGTTCTGCCTGTACATGCCACATGGGCCCGCTGGCGAGGGACCAACGAAGGCAGCAGAGGATATCACAGGAGGGGTTAGCACTGGAGTGGGCTAGCAGTAGAGTGGGAAGAGGATAGAAAAGGGGGGTGTGCAATAACAAGGATTCCCGTTCCATTGAGCACAACGGCCAGTGGAGAGGGACAAACGAAGGCAGCAGAGGATAGCAGTGGAGGGGTTTAGCACTGGAGGGGCGCTGAGGATAGGATGGGGGATGCGTGTGGCAGACAGGCATGCAGCGCAGAGGAGAAGAGGAGCATAGCAAGAGGCAGTATTGAAAAGCTATTGATCTGACAACGAGCTTCTCTTGAGCACAAGTGACGCCAGCTCCCCACAGCTAGTGGGACGGGGAACAACTAGATTGGGGCTTACTGGTTATCCTCTTCAAGTCGGGGTACTCAGAAGGAGCTGACGTGGAACCAGCAGGTGTCGTGTTGTCGCTGGCAGGTGTGGTGGTGGTGGCAGGTGTTGTGTTGTCGCCAGCAGGTGCGGTGGTGGTGGCAGGTGTTGTGTTGTCGCCAGCAGGTGTTGTGGCATCGCCGACAGCTGCAATAGTGTCGCTGGCAGGTGTGGTGGTGGTGGCGGGTGTGGTGGTATCGCCGGCAGGTGTTGTGTTGTCGCCGCCAGGTGCACTGGTGTCGCTGGCGGGTGTTGAGGTGGTGCTGGCAGGTGTTGTGGCAACGACGCCACCAGTGATGCAGCGCGCGGAGATAAAAGCGTTGCCAAGGGGCTTGGATCTGGGCACGGGGAGGGCAAGGCACGGGGAGGGCAGCACGAGAGCAAGGTCGTTGGTAATGTGGGGTTCAAACGAGCGGCTTCGGGAGCAGGGAATTAGTGAGTTAGAGTGAGAGTGAGTGTGAGGGTGAGAGTGAGAGTGAGGGTGAGACTGAGAGTGAGAGTGAGGGTGAAAAGTGAGAGTGAGTGCGGGTGAAAATGAGAGTGAGGGTGAGGGTGAAAGTGAAAGTGAGAGTGAAGGTGTGAGTAGCATCAAACGCTCACCTCTGCTGACCATACACGAGAGAGCCGAATGCCCTTCCATTGCAGCTAGAACCGCGGAAGAACAGAATCTTGTCGCAAGCAGCCTTGCCATCCTGCTGCCACGCCACCTGCACCTTCAAGCTCCCGCCACCCAGGCTGGGCACGATGGCGACGCAGCGGCGCGAGTTGAAGGCGTAGGAGAGCCCGTTGACCTTCACCCGCGTGCCCACCAGAGCTGCCGCGCTCGCAGAGGGAGCAGCTGCTGCGACTGTGGGAATGGGGACACGTGGGGTGGGTGGGAGGTGCATGGAGAAGGGGCGTGTGACTTTTGAGTCGGCTCAAAAGGCTCTCGCGCTCGCCGTTGGGGCAGCTGTTGTCACTGTGGGAATGGGACGACACGTGGGGTAGGAAGAGTCGCAGGGAGGGGGGCGTGTGCATTAGCGGACCATGATGGTGTGAGTTTTGAGACGTCTCAGACGCGTGCCAACCAGGCCCTGGGCTCCCGCGCTCGCCGTCGGAGCACCTGCTACCTGCAATGGCTGTGACAGGTGAATTACAGTGATAATGGGAACACATGGGGTGGGGGACGCACGGACGGGGCGTGTGCATGGCGGACCATGATGGTGTGAACAAGCCTAGTTTGGGCCTTTGTCGCTGCGCGCCGCAGTGCATTCAAGGTGACGTTGAGTCGAGTCAAAAGTCACCTCAAGCGGCGTGTGCGGCATTGGCGGACCATCATGATGGTGCGAGCAAGCCTAGTTTGGGCCTTTGTCGCTGTGCGAGGTGCATTGCTGCGCGCGGTGCATTCAACACGTAGTAGGAGCCAGAAACGATGAGGACGCGAGCAGATGGGTAAGGTGACTTGTGAAGTCGAGCCCCAAGTCACGCCACAGCGCGCGGCGCATTCAACACGTGGTAGGTGCCACGCAGACGACGATGCTGGCGGCGAGCACAGGAGCATCACGCTAGTGAGCGCCGCATGAGCGCGAACGATGCGTACCTGCGATGACAGCGATGATGGCGAGCAGAGCAGCCGTGGCGGCCTTGCGAGTCGGAATCCTCATCATCATGACGGTGCTGCGCCAACAGCCCGCAACTCACGCACAGCTCTTGATCTTCTCCTCGTGCGACGATGCAAGCTCGAGCGGACGCGGAGGGACTCGGGGAGATAATGTCACTCAGAGACGCCTCTGGATCTTCACCCTTGCGCTGCGGTACAGGCTCGTGCTGACGTTGCTGGGCTCGCGAGAGACGCGCCGCGGGGAGATTGCTGCTACCGTGACGCGGCTGGGGAGAGAAGAAGATGTCACTTTTGAGTCGACTCAAAAGTCGGCTCGCGAGAGGCGCCGCGGAAAGATTGCAGCTACCGTGACGCCGCTGGGGAGAGCAGAAGATGTCGGACGGAATGCACGAGTCGAGGGAGGAGTGGTAGGTATAGAGAGAAACTGCACGAGCGGTGATGCTACCGGTTGTAACAGACGACGCAGTGAAGACGGTAATGGACGAACCATGCTTAATTGGACATCGCCATGCGACGCTAGTAAGTGCGCTCGAGCTATTGCCTCACTCATCGCCTGGCGATGCCGCGCATGATCCGCCTGGCGTGCGGCGGCGCAGCGGGTATAGGGCGACGCGCACGGTGGCCATGACGAGCGCGAGCGCACGCGGGTGACGCAGCGAGAGCGCACGGCGAGCGAGGGCGCACGGTGCCCGTGATGCAGCGGGTATAGGGTGACGCGCACGGTGCTCATAACGAGCGCGCGAGTGCTTTCGCCGTGGCCGACGGCTACGGAAGCCATTTCTAGGGGAACGCGATCCTCTCCTATCCAGCAAATGTGGCTTCGAGTGAAATCTTAGGTGGATTTATTGGGTATTATTGGGGTTCCAGCCAATGAGGTTAGACCGCGAGAAACGTGTTCCAGGACCACCCCATTTACACGGTCTTGGAAAACGGGGTTACGGTAGGTTGTTTGAAGCTTGGACCACTCTTCGTTAGAAACTCGTTGCACGGCATACAACACGGCATAGAGCCCATTACCATATGATACATCAATCTGTTGAACAACAATACATTACATCATTAATGCATACCGCCTAATTTCACCAACAATAACCACCAATTTTGACCTCCTCTCCATTCCAGTCAATCCCTCCTGCTGTGAATCCTCAATATTTAATCCTAGCACTAGTGTTTTTCTTGCCAGACTTGATTTCCTAAACCATCCACAGCTACGAGTAGTGGAATCGCAACTGGCAACAATTTCTAGCAGCCCTCTTTATTCCTTCTAATCACATCTCCCTCCCCCCGCCCCCACCCCCCCCTCCCCGCTCCACACCTCAGTCCTCCTGGCCATACTTCATATACCGTACGATTTTTGCTAGGTAAACTATCTGAATCTATCCCTCTGATAGCTTCCAGCTCATGCATCCAACCCACTCCAACCCTTCCAGCTCATACCTCTTCTCTTCTCCTACACTAGTCTTTCTTCCCTGATTTCATGACCACTACAGGAGGTGGAGTGGCAGTGTCCACAGCGATCGAATTCAACGCCGGCTTGTTCTGGTCGTCGCTATTGGCCCACATGCGCTCGTCGAAAATATTCCGCTGCCATCGCTGGCGAAAATCGCAGCAAACAGGAGCACAGCACGAACACGTTGCATATAATCACGCCGCAGCAGATCACTTCTGTAGTTGTCACGTTCATTTCTTTCTGCAACTGATATATCCGAGAGAAGGATGCCTCCTGGAGCTGCTTAGAACGGGAATGCGATGCTGTTGCTGTTCCGTCCCCTAGCATGCCCCTGAAACGGGAAGTGGAGAATGGATTTAAAGAGAAATTTCAGTATCCTGACCAGATGTCGGGTGCTTTGATTTGTCTTGATTAATGCTGTTTCTGTTCTTATGCTGGTTCACCCATCACATCATGCTGCTTCATGGATGGGGGGAAGAAGGGAACGGGGGGAGAGGGGAATGGGGGGAGGGGGAGAGGGGAATGGGGGGAGAAGGGAACGGGGGAAGAAGGAAACGAGGGGAGAAGGGAACGGGGAGGGAAGGGAGCGGGGGGAGAAGGGAACGGGAGGAGAAGGGAATGGGGGGAGAAGGGAATGGGTGGGGGGATTGGGTGGAGGGATCCAGGCTGGGGCCAGGTGAGCATCCCTTGCATCAGGCAAGGAAGGGTTTTGCCTTGCAAGGCGAGGCAGGCGGTACAATGGAGAAATTATGCACTTATGATGGGATGGCATGGGTGATGATGCCTGCCATGTGCTTACGCCTCTTCTTGTTTTCACGTCCAGCAACCCGATGTGATCAGCATGCACTGAGTAGCTAATGACCACTTACATAAGGTGACACCACGGCTGCTGCCCAGCTAATCTGGCCCCATGCCTCACTCCTCGCCTGCGTGCACCCACTTCTTGCATGAATGTGGCTCTGCCATACTGCCCAGCTGTGTGCTGCAGCCATAAGATGGGCTCCTCGCCGCTAGTGCAGCACAGCACAGCACAGGTGCTGTTGATGAAGGATGGGAGGGGAGTTGGGCAGGAGGAGCAGAGTGAGGAGGGGCGAGGTGGACAGTTGACAGGTGATGACATTGCACATGGGAAAGCAGTGCCCAGATTCGTTGAAGCATCAGAGTGTGGGTTGGGAGCAAGCGATAGTGGGGACAGGGGTGGAGGAGTGGAGCAAGCGAGATGGCTTATGGGATGGTGAGAGCATGGGAGCATGGGAGTATGGTAGCATGGGAGCAGTGATGCATGGGAGGATGGTATCAAGTGAGCAATAACTCAACTAAACATGGGAGAATGGAAGCAGGGAGAGCAGGAGAGCATGGGTGTATGGGACCAAGGGAGGGTCGATCTATGCGAGCATGGGGGAATGGGTCAGATGATCGTGGGAGCATGAGAACATGGGAACATGGGAACATGGGAACATGGGAGTATTGAAGAAATGGGATCATAGGAGCAGAATCATGGAATAATGGGATGCTTGGATAATGGGAGCATGGAGCATGTGAACGCAGAAGAGCAGGAGTGTGAGACACGGGAACATGGGAGTATAGGAGCATGGAAGAATGCAGGAATGGGAGAATGGGGAGCATGGCAGAAGGGAGCTTATGCGTGCCTTTACTCATGTCCTTCCTGCATGATCCTCTGAACAGAGGGACACAATACGGTTATACACAGCAGTAGGAGCTGAGTCAGTAGCAACCGGCCATGGGGCTGCAACAAGGAGGTACACTTGTGATAACCTCCATTCAATGCATTTCGTATTTTTTCATACCCCACTTGCATACTGAAGAAATCAATGCATTGTAGTGAACTGTGTGACGTGCAGCGACCTGTTCATGATGATGCAACTCCCTATACTCAATTCACAATGAGAAGAAGTATCTGTGGCTATCAGAAGAACAAAGCGTCCACCCAAAACTAGGCAGGCAACAACCCCCCTTCATCTTCACTGGCCTCCACACGTAGGCAGTGACGATCAACTCTCTCCCATCGCTTGCTGCCATGCTACATGCCAATCCGCTTGCGTAAATCCACACTGAAAGCAAGGCCCCCTTCTGGCAGCCCAAGGCTTATCAGTTCAGTCAGGGCAGTCAGCTGCTGCAGCCCATCATCCGTGACTGCCGTGCCGTCCAGCCGAAGGTTCTTAAGCCGTGTCAGCCTCCCCACATCCGCCATGCCTGCTTTGGTAACACCCTTGCATCCAGAAAGCCCCAGGGACTCAAGGGAGGAGAGAGCTGTCAGGTGTGGCAGCCCAGCATCAGTAACTGCCGTCCCACCCAGCAGAAGCTCTTCCAGCGCTGTGAGCCTCCCCACGTCCACCATGCCAGCGTCTGTCACACCCTTGCATTCTGAGAGGCGCAGCGATTTGAGGGAGGAGAGAGCTGTCAAGTGTGCCAAGGCAGCATCTGTGACTGCCGTCCCATCCAGCCAGAGCTCTTCCAGACCTGTCAGTTTCCCCACATCCACCATCCCAGCGTCTGTCACACCCTTGCATCCAGACATGTGAAGCGATTTGAGAGAGGAGAGAGTTGCCAAGTGCGGCAACCCAGCATCTGCGACTGCCGTCCCATCCAGCCAAAGCTGCTCAAGAGCTGTCAGCCTCCCCACACACACCATGCCATCAGATGTCACACCCTTGCATCCAGAAAGCACCAACACTTTAAGCGAGGAAGCATCTACCAAGTGCAGCAGCCCAGCATCGGTCACGCTCGTCTGCTTGAGATCGAGGTCGTGAAGACTGGCCATGCACCCTATGCCTTCCAGAGCACTGTCTGCGACGTCTGTGCTGTTAAGGTCGAGCATCTCCAGCTGAGGGAGCCTGTAGAGGTGCTTGATGCCCTCTGTTGTAAAGCCAGAGGCAGATTGCAGGTGGATGTACTTCACATGGGTCATGGTGGACACATGGGCGAGCATGGCTTCTGAGAGGCCCTTGAAAAAGGACAGCGACAGACTGGCATCTTGTGATGCTAACTTGATCCTCTGGGGGGCGTGGGTAAGAAGGATGGACAGAAAGCATCTCGCTTCAATTTTATCCCTTTCAAGAATAGAAAGTAGTGTAACTGTGATGCTTTCTTCTAGTCGCCTGCCATGCATGCACCCAGCACTCACCTGCCATGCCTTCTTCTCATCGCCTTCACTCTTCCCAATTGCCTCCTCAACCCTCAACTGCATCACAGCATCCTGGTGTGCCTTCACCTCCCTCATCTCTGCTACCCTTCGCCGCTCAGCCTCCTCCAACTCCCCTTTGGTTGCTGCCAACTCTGTCCTCGTCTCTTCCAGCTGGACGCCAAGTAAGCTCATTCTCATTTCCATCGCCTCTTTCCACTTGTGTGTTCCGGCCATACCCACGATGGCAGTTGCAACAGCCTCACCCACTCCCATAATCCTGGAAGTGACATGAGCCCTGCACATGGCAGCACAAGGGATCACATGGGGGCACTCAGGTGGATATGAGGAGTCTAAGAGATAGAAACTACAGGCGAATATGAGCCCGGGGGGAGGGAAGTGACGCGCGCGGCTCCCCAGAGCGCCGCGGCGGACTGGCGGGGGGGGGACGCGTGCGGCTCCCCAGGGCTCCGCGACGGACTGGCGGGGCGCGTGCGGGCTCCCCAAGGCGCCGCGACGAACGAGCGGGGCGCGCGCAGGCTCCCCAGGGCGCCGCGACGAACGAGCGGGGCGCGCGCGGGCTCCCCTGGGCGCCGCGACGAACGGGCGAGGCGCGCGCGGGCTCCCCACAGCAGGAAACCGCCGCGCGCCATGGGGCGCACGGCGGGCAGAAAACCGCCGCGCACCTCGGGGCGCACGGCGGGATGAAAAACCCTAAAAATTTTCGCCGCGCGGAAGAAGACGACGCACGCTCGAGGCGCGCGAGAAGCATAACCGTAGCGGAAGCAGTTAGGTGGTGGGCCCACCCACAGGATCGACCCAAGGGGGTCGACCTGCTCTGATAGCATGTCGAAACAAGTTAGGAACAGAAAAGAGGGTTTGAACTAGCCGGCAGTTGAGTACAAATAGCAAACCCTAGATTGGGCTGTACTCGCTATAGAGTACCCCACTGCAGGCTAGACAATATAACATTCTGACATTCACCACGTCGTCGCAGAGAATGCCTACGCCCAAGCGAGGGCGGGGCCTTTCACTTGCGCGAGTGATGTTGGACGAATGCATAATCTTGCAGGAAAGCGGCGGGAGTCATGGAGGCTGAGGGCGTTTGCCAGGCTTTGTGAAGCTAGCCAATCGGGAATTGGATCCTTGCGACATTTCATAGATCTCATCTCACAGTATTCACAACTAGCTAGGGCCGTCGCAGCTGGCATCTGGTCGCTCGCGAAACTCTCGTCACATTCGAGCTAGCTTTCTGTCCACGCTGAATGCCTGGTAACGAAACTTGTCGCGAATGTATCGGTGCCCAGACGAATCGAGCAGGCGATTCCGAAGCAAAATGTCTGACTGGGAAAATATTCTTGCTGGGGAAGCGAAGGGCATTAATGACGCGGCGCGGGTCATTGAGGTCGTTCCCATCCCAGTCAGCCTAACTCAACGAACAGTAACCATCGTGCCCAGCAGGTGACCATTGGAGTCTGTCGTTGACCATCCAAAGTGCAGTGGTGGGACTCGCGAACAGGCCTGTCGATTGACGGGCATATGCCCTTAATGCCCTGACATTAAGGGCTAGTTTCGCTCCAGCTCCAATGCGTCAAGTTTTAGATTCGCACCCCACCCGTGCCACTAAGTGCTTCGTTCGACCCTTCCCCGGATGCGTTAAGGGACGAAACCAGGCCTTTCTCATTATCTAAGTTTTGGTTTCCGATCGTAGGACCCCCCCTTCCAGGGTGCCAGAGACACCCCCTGTGTGTAGCGTAGGACCCCCAGCGTTATCTAGCCAATCTCGTGTGTGTAGTGTGTCTCAGTCAGCCTTGGAGCACCCGAACATTCCCTTAGCGTCCAATACGAGCTGGCTGCAGGTTACAGCTGTGACAAATCTGCCAGATTCACACACAGATTCACCCAAGCTTAAAGCTCAAGGATACATTTGTCAGTGGGGTTCAGGGTTTTACAGTATGCCTCACAGTTCTGGGGCAACTTTTCAAGTTCCTAAGGAACTTGAACCCCTCCTTTCAAATGTATACCGGAGCTTTAAGTGTGGTGCAAACTCCTCACATGCCCGGATTTCAAGTTTTCACTTTGGGGTGCGCCCGTGACCGTTAAGGGCGCCAAAACGCTCACCTACACCCAACCAAGGGTCAGATGGGGAGGAGCTGGGGAGCGCAAGTACGAGCCCCAGAAACTTCGACAGGCCTGCTCGCGAAACGATTCGTGAAGGCAAAAAACGCTTCGTCCGCACGTCGCGCACACATGCGATGATCGGTGCGCCCGAACCATTTCGTCAGCCGCACGAACCTCTGCCCCCAGAAACATTGAATTTTTACAGATGATCGTTCGCAATTCATCCAACCGTGTGCTTTGAGCGAGGTACAACGCTGGTGGCAGCACTCCTGCCTCACCCGTTACGTTTTCGCAACGTATTCGCATTCTGGAAGCGTACTCCCTCTCATGTGACGACATTTGTACGAAGGTGTATATTCGCACATCGTACGCACATCGTGGAATGAGGCGAATTCTGGTTACTCAGCATGACCAATGTGAAACGAAGCACGAGTCAAGAGCAAAACCATACAACATCATGTGGCTGAAGTCTGGACTACTACCCAAGCCATCTTAGGTAATAGCACTCTAATACCTCGGCACTACTACTAATCGATGTCCAATTTTCAGAACCGAACCCGCGTAGGAGTCAGTAGCAGTCATACGGTTAGTCAATATTCCACCGCTCCCTCCTCATGCATTATCTGCTCGTTTCAATGCCGTTTTCTCGCGAGAGATTCGCGTGGCATTCAGGCCATTTGGCGTGTCCAAAAACCGTTTCGCCTAGTAGGTGTCGTCATTGCCTCTCCTTTCCTCACGACGTTCCAATCTTCGAAACCCTAGAAAAAACTCCAAGATAAGCCAGGTTCGGTTATTCCGCTCGCACACCAGCACTACCCTTATCATCATCTCCCTCCATTCGTCGTTTCGAGTCCGTTGGCCTACCCTCTGTCCCTCTCGTCCTTTGCCTTCAAATCAGCTCCATGCCTAGAGGTAGCGCAAACAGAAATATGCAGTTGTCATGCATGGCGCCACGCTTCAGTGCACTTATCCGGTCAACCTGACGCCAATCGCGTAATCGGTCACTTATGCATGCCATAAAACGAGTATCAATAGCATTGAATACTTGCCCGGTCCCACTCATCCGACTGCCTTACTTCCCTTCCAGATAGTTCACTTTTGCCAAGCCTCGCCATCAGCACCACGCACTGTAGATCGACTGTGCCCGCGCCGCCGCGGCTGAGTCGCTACGCGAGACGTGAAAAAACATCTACTTCAAATTCTAGAGAAAAGGTAAGCACTCTATCTCCTCAGTCAATACATGGATTGGAGCCTCCCCATTGTCTCTCAGTCTTAACCTTCCGCAATGCAAGGCCCCAGTGTCTCGCACATGTCTCAGAGCTCGCTGTATAACCTTTGATGCATTGTGAACCCGGGCCTTTCCCGTGCTGCTAGTTTTCTTTAGCTCATACAACATGCTGTCACTGAACGAGGCTCTTACTGATCTATCATTTGACTGATATAATCTGTGATCTTCCTAGCCTGTAACCTACATAGTTTTATGTAAGTGGCCTAGCCTGTGACCTACATAGCAGTGACCTTGCATGTGACCTACTTAGCTGTAAGTGACCTTGCATGTGACCTACTTAGCTGTAAGTGACCTTGCATGTGGCCTACTTAGCTGTAAGTGGCCTAGCGTGTGACCTACCTAGCGTGCGTGGGTGCGTGCGTGCGTGCGTGCGTGCGTGGGTGGGTGGGGGTGGGTGTGTGTGTGTGTGTGTGTGTGTGTGCGTGCGTGCGTGCGTGCGTGCGTGTGTGTGTGTCTCTCTCTCTCTCTCTCTCTCTCTCTCTCTCTCTCTCTCTCTCTCTCTCTCTCTCTCTCTCTCTCTCTCTCTCTCTCTAATGGTCCGTGTATTGATAGATCAAGAAGGTACACACATGCAGAGTATGGAGCAAGCAACAAACAACACAAAGTACCAATGCTAAAGCATCCGTGCTATCACCCTACCGCCCCTCTCTAAAGCTCTAAGAGGGGCTCTACTACTGCGAAACAATCCCCCAGGTGCAGCTCATGCCCAATCCCCCCCACCGGGGGGTTTTCTGCTGCTGCTGCCTCGCCCAACTTCATGAGAAGTCCCACTGACTGGGCCCTTTGGAGGGCTACCGACCAACGCTGCCGGAATTGGTGCAAGAACTTGGCGGCATAGAAAGATTTTGAGTCGGCGTTGAAGTGGCGCCGAGCCGCTGAGTCCGCGAGAAGCTTAAGGAAGACCGGAACCTCCGCGCATGGGCAGCCATAGGTGTCTACTGCGAGGGGGAAAAAGCCAACCGTCTCCGGGCGGTTGGCATAGTGCTTAATCTTCTTGTCGGCCTGCTCCCGGGCCGCCCACCCTCTGCCTTTCTGAGCCTCTGGGTCCCTGGTGCTGATGGGATCAGTGACGGTGACGTCGCAGATGTAGACGGCTCCGGTGCTTCTGTCTGTCATGGTGAAATCCGCCGTCTGTTCCTCGATGGGGCAGTAGGCGGTGGACTCCCGATGGACTATAAAGCCCGCATCTTGCGCCATGCTGACGCAAGCGTCCCGCAGCTCGTTGTGGGTGTTCGTGCGGTGCTTGCCTGTGGCGCACCGAAGCAGATGGTTCGGAAGGCGGGGGTCGGGGATGGCCGTGTGCTCAGGGCAGTCACAGTTCTTAGGGGTTGAGAATGGCAGGGCGAGACGGAAGCGCACCGCGTTCGCAAAGTGCACTGGCCCTATCCGCCGCGTCGCTGCCACTGGGACCGCCGTGATCCAGTCGCCAGTGCCGTAGCCAGTCAGAGAATACATCCGCTGCGTATGACCCGCGAGCGGATTCAGCCGCATGCGCCTCGTCGCTTGCACCTGTACGGCATATCTGCTGCCGTGCACCTGCAGCCCGAGGACATGCTGCAGCCGTAGGTCAGATCGCTCGAGCCGCTCCTTCTCTAATATCTCGCGGGCGTCCGTCGGTAGCGCCTCCTCACACCCCGTCAGCCAAACGTGCAGAGGCGTGCTGCTGTCCCGCGGCAGGAGCATGTGGTCCCGCGCCTGCGCGAGCGCATTCACGTCACCCAGCGCGAGGTTGTTGAGAAACAGCGCCGCCTGGGTGAAGCTTGCTGCGAAGCCGTAGATCCCCTCGACTAGGGGATTTGTGATGCCGAGACCCCCCAAAGACGGTGGT